TGGGGGGGGGGGGCGGTCACGAGAGAATGACATACGAGAGTCGCTAGCAGACCAAGTAGAAACCGGCATAGTCGCGCGGTTCTCTCCAGGATAGAGGAAAGCCATTATATTCCAACCTCAGATCGAAAAATGTACTAGTACTACTACTACCCTGGGCACCGAACCCGGGCCGGCTAAACAACCGCCGGCCCGTAGCTCCATCCAGCCCGCCGAAGGCACCCGTACCCAGCTTATCCCCAAGATACTACGCCGTCCCCTAAATACAGCAATAAGAATTTATATGTGTCATGATATTAAGTCATTTGTGATAGAAATTATGAAATCCAGGCTCGATGTTTCTTGTAATCCGCGATATAAACTGTTACATATCGTAATGCATGTGTCACAATAGCCGCTTCCGGTTGCCGCCCGTCCACCAGACGGTCTCTGAAAAATTGCGCGTTCTGCAAACGGCGAGACCGTGAATGAACCGAAAAATACTAATAAAACTTCAACGTACGGCTTTTCTTTTTAGTGGTATTTGTAGACAATAGAAAACGTATGACAGGACCATTGAAAACTGATGGAAAACACTTAGCATTTTCTAGAAAAATGAAAATTTGTACTTCGATCGAGTAAAAATTGTAAACCCCAAGAGACCCTAATTTCGGGCCTTGTCAAACCGGAAGTGCCGAAAAGGGCCGTATCTCGTTAACGGAGACAGTTCCACTCCCGGATTTCGGCGATTTGGGAATTGCGAGAACCGAAAGGCTCGTAAGGGGGTTTCAACTTTTTTCGGAATATTTCATATTATGACTTTGTGAAAGTGTTAAGACGCCGAAAACCAATCGTTTTATTTTCTGTAGGATTTAACTGAAATAATCATTCACAAGCTGTTGAAATTTGTGTGTTTCTTAAGGCTAGAAAAAATTTCTAGTGTGGGACTGATTTTCCTTTATCTATCTCTTAGGTTTAGTTCTGTTCATTAAATACATGTATAGATACAAAGAATGACTCATTTTACACATTATACTGCAGTGTTTTGGTAAACCTAACCCTTTTGAAAATGTTTTGTACCTATTTCAAAACAGCAACCTGACGATAATATATTGCCATTTGGGCCTATCTTATCTCCAAGCAGATGTTGGGAGGCTAAATCATTTTCCTAGCTGCTTGTTTCTGTCACAAATATCTGCCACTAAGTTAGGCAGGCTAGATCAAATAACAGTATATATATTTCACGTACGACACATCTATTAATATACTACATGTGAATGTTATGACATATTGGTGTAATTGTAGACTATATTGTCTGTTACTAACGTTACTGTGTATATATCTCTATTGTCCAGGTTCACAATCAGTCAAGAAGAAGCAAAAACAACTTTCTTAATCAGTATGGATAGTTTATTAAGTGTATTACTTTAACACTTAATTTTGTATAAAAATATTGATCATGTACATAATGAGATTATCTACAGTGTCAATGACCTTTGTGCTTGCCTGATTATATCCTAATATAGATATAACATCTGTGTCCAAAATATCACCAGGGTCCATAATATCGCCACCTTGAGAAATAGTGTGCTTAAAGATATTTTTACTGCAACATACCCTAGGTATGTACATTTGATGTGTGAAGGAGTGCATACCAAAAGTATGTTGCAGGAAAAAATATCTTTAAGCACACTATTTCTCAAGGTGGCAATATTATGGACCCTGGTGATATTATAGACACAGGTGTTAAATCTGTAACTTAGTGGAGATGACTACTTTTAAAGCACAAAAAAACTTAAGCCACATGTCTAAGCATTCTAATTCGTAATCTCTGTGGAAATGAACAAGACTACTTAAAGCACCCATAATGATGCCTTATCCTGTTAATTTCAAAGTAGACTGACAAAATAATTTTTACTTGGCTCAGGCAGATCCATTTGGAGAGTTTTCAAGGTGAAAAAGAAAACTTTTATGGACCTGCCTAATCTTTGAAAAGTCATTTCAAGATCTTGCTCTTGTTTCACGAAAATTTTCCAATGTTTTTTTGTTGTTTTTCACTCTTTTTCGAAGTTTGCTTCCAGCTACATTCGACAGGTCAAATGTCTGTTAGGAAGAGTAAGTGTCTATTAATTATCAAATAACTCAGTTGTTCTTAGAACAAGTAAGTAAACTGAAAACCAATGAAGAAAATAATTTCATAAAATGCATAAAGATTTTTGCTGCAAATTTGGGGTAGTCTGAGGCCAGTATTGAGTTAGAAACAGTTTTTAAAACGAAAATATGTGACTGTATGGTTATATGATGCTAATTCACCTGAGTAATTGTGTAGTTTAGATATACAAGTACATGTATGAGCTATCTAACACAATGAACTTATATGCAAAATCTTATCAAGAATTCTGTGAAGCAATCAATTATAATACATCCTATCTACATCACAAGTGGTCTAAAAGTATCATGAAAGTTTATCTGTGTCGGTAGTTACATGTTTGAAGTTAAAACTTTTGTTCCAACACAAAAAGTTCTCTCACCTAGAGCTTTCGACCAGTCACTCTGGTCTTCCTCAGTAGACTGACCCAGTCTACCAGATACATTGTACCTTTGACCCAGTGTTGACGTTACACTTCAAAGAAGCCATGTGACAAGCCTCACTGGGTCAGTCTACTGAGGAAGACCAGAGTGACTGGTCGAAAGCTCTAGGTGAGAGAATTTTTTGTGTTGGAACAAAAGTTTTAACTTCAAACATGGTCTAAAAGTGTATACCTCTTTTCTACAGCGACAATAATACCATCATATTATAACATCAGACTAACATCAAAGAATATTAGTAATACTGAACATCAATGTTTGGGGAATGTTAACCAACCAATCAGGAAGGAGGAATACATGTAGTAATACGGAATGTCAGTACTTGGTGAATGGTAATTGGTCAATTAAGAAACATGTTTAAACAACAAACAGAAATTTGTTTGTAGGTAATTCCATAGCACATCCAAAAATCAAATGCTCTAAATATAATAATTAGGACCAAACTATGGTTATGGATCATAAAAATGAAATTTTATACATATATATTCTTAGCATCCTTCTGAATTTTTTTTTTCTTTTCTAATATTTTATCTACTGACCGATATGGCTTTACATGTTGGTTCTAACCAAATCTTCCAAATCCGGTAGATTTAAAGATATATGAAGACCGTAAAGTTATCCTGAACAAACCAAAACACACCTTAACAACCAGTTTCAGTCATAAGAACATTTCAAAATGCATCACCTTCTTGATGCCAGCAAACACCTTTAACACTGACCATTAAATTTACAACTCTAGACTACAACTATTTGCTTTCATCATGTGGTTTCAACCTTCCCATTGCTACTGGCTCATGTTGAAGAGGTTAGAATATAATTTAAACATCTCGTGTACCATTCAATGTCCTGTACTCAAGAATCGCATACTAGTACCATCCTTTGGGAGAAAAGTAGCTAACCTGATATCAGTTGAACTGAGGTAACGTGGAATTGAGTAACATTCCTTTCAGGAGGATCAAAATACAACAACAAAGGCAGTTCTGATGTTACTGTAATTCCTGATTTTTTCCAGTACTTTTACGTTCACGGTTTTTGTGGCCACTTCTGTGCCACAAACTTGTCATTACTGTTATAATTTGTCAACTTTCTTTTTTCTGCACCTGCAAACTTTTGCTACCGTGAACATAAAGTGAATTACAGTATCTGATTCAACAAATTTAAACATTCAAATAGAAAGAAATGAGTCTACCAGTGACAGAGTTTCAGAGGAGGGAAAGAAAGCTTTGTGTTTTAAGATGTACATAAGGCACAGGATACTTGTATATAATATTACATATGCTGGCTACTGGCCTTGGAAGGTAACTATTGTATCACAACTTAGTGCCTGACTCTACTAACCAGGCACCATGTTGCATTGTTACAGTCACCTTTGATTATTACCATCGCAATGTGCTTTGAGATAGTTGCACGCTGTTAGATAGCATGGAATTGAACACAAAGAAAGGAGAAAGTAACCATGATATCTCTATCAGTTAATTCTTGTGGCAATGAATCTTTCTCCCTGCCATATGTACACACATTCAGGTACCCTCTTGTGTGTAGTTGTCCACTAAAATAACTACTTCTGGAAGAATTATACATATTTTGGTAATCTTGTACTGTTGGGCGCTGATGATTTGTTGCCCTTTCACCTTTGATCCTTGACCTGGCTGGTGTCTGGTTGTCTGTCAGGTTGTGTGTTGATTGGCTGTTGGGTGGTGATGTCATCATGGCTGCTGCCTAGCGGGTCCTGAATAGCAGACTGAGAACGGGAGCAAAATTAAACCTTGATGAGCAGAACATTACAAAATCCTTAAGACTTTTCTCTCTTCTTTTTAGGGTTTCATTGAGTTTCAATCAAAGATTTCTCATGTTAAAATAGTGTGTGATGGTTTCAGCTCCAAGGACAGAGCCAGTCTTGTTTTTTTTTCACATTCAGACAACAATCTGTGACAAAAATACTTGTGAATGCTGACTTCTTAATTATCTTTTTGATTTATGGCTAGAAGACTGAGAGCAGAAGGAAAATTGAATAACACTAAATTAAATGTTTTGTCTAAATACTGTTCTATCTCACATTTCTGTTTTGTGTCACACAGATGAACCTGAGTTGAAATACTGACCTGTTCTATTTCTGGATCAAACTTGGTATGGGGGATCTGTGTTGCTGCTGTAGTGTGTGTGTCGTATTTGGTGCTTTCTGTGCCTGGCCCCTCCATAGTCTCCAAGTTGCCGAAATCCTCACCAACATCTTTCCTGGTCTCCTTTTCACTCTGTTGGTCGTTAAATGGTTTCATCTCGCTGTCATCGCCTGTTTCCATTGCTAAACCATCGGATGTCACATTTTCCTTCCCTCCTGCCAAACCGCTGACAAATTGGGAGAACTTTTCCCACTCCAAACTCTCCTCCTCATCTTCCATTGTATCTGCTTCAGCGTCCTTTTTCGGGTGACTCACCAACTCAGAGAAGTCATCCCAATCCATGGTCTCTTCTTCATCTTCGAGGTAACTATCCAGTTCGTATTCTCTTTCATTCATGTCTCGATTCATCGGAATCTCTGACAGATCTTTCTCAAGATCTGCACTATCAGTTCTTTCTGCTGTAAAAGGGCCCTCATCTTTGGTCACTTCTGGAGGCATTTCTTCTTCAATGTTTTCATCATTGTCCAGAGATTCATCATTTGCTGATTCTTTTGCCTCCTTTTCTGCATTGCTTAAACCATCGTTTCTTGTGTCTGTCTCTGCCTCATCCCTTGCCTCAAACTCCCATCCTCTGTGTTCCTTGTTATCTGTGTCTTCAGCAGACTTGTTCTTCTGTTCTTCCCTCTCATCAGAACGGTCCATTCCCTCAATAACCTCGTCTCGGACAAACTTCAGCCACACGGAATCCAGGTCCTCCACCTTCTCCTGGCTCTCAATGCTCAGGTTCTTCTTGTTCTGACCTGTGAAGGCAATAAATGTACAAATCAATCGATTAAAAGGCTTGCAAAGTTTTGGTTTCTCTCTTGTCAGTGTTAAGTTCATCAACTATTCTGATATTATTGTTATAAAGATATTTACACTAATCTGTTTATCCTTTCTAAAACATATTCATATATTTAATGTATGGTGACCCTGGCTTGCAACTTGCAACACAATGTAATTCAACACCACAGGGTGTCTGCTATGTACCAGTCACCATGGTGACAGATGTCTGGTCCAGGTTATTGACCTTGTGTGTTTGGGACAGAAGATGAAGAAATAGAGCATAAACAATACGTTTTCCTTCTGCAAAGGTAAACAAAAAAAGCCAGAAGCTGAGCTGACCTGACTTATGTTTCCCCCTGTCCCCACCCTTGCCATGTCTGTGTTTGTGTTGTTTTGTCTCAGCTTCCTTCTGGTCCTCCTCAAACTTCAGTATTTCCTCCTCCAGACCGGCAATGCTGTCATCTTCTCCAGAATTCCCCTCTGCAACTTCATCTGTTTCTGTAGTAGTAGAATGGTTTACTTCTTTTAAAATGGCAGCCTAGTTTCAGCCCTAGGGCCTCAGACTTGTGTATACAAATGCACAAAAAAATTATTTATAACAGAACATATTGCATTAGAAAGCATAGCATATACATGTACTGTATATAGCAAATTTATATAAGTTAAAATATAAGCAAAAGATGAGACCTACTCAAGTACAAGTGATATCTTATCAAAATTGTATTCCATATAATATTGGTTTCTCATGAAATTATATGAAGGCAATGATATTAAAGCAAATGTCATTTTCATCCTACCTGGTCCAGAGTTTCCATCCTCTTCATCCGTCCTCCAGTCCAGGTCCAGTCGGTCCACCCACAGGTCCTCGATCTCCGACATCTCCGCACTTGCTCGTCCCCTGGACTCTCTCTCACTCCCCTCATCTTTGCCGAGAAGAGGAGAGTTCACGCTCGGATTCTCTATCTCTTCTTCCCTCCCTCCTTCCTCCGAGAGACTCGAGTTTCCTTTCAGAGATGATCCCTCTTCCTTGTCCTTTCCTTCTTCTTTTCTCCCAGATTCTGTTGAATCGTGGTCCATGCTTGTCTTTTCTTTGGACAGTTCAGAATCTCCATCTTGAGCTTCTTCAACACTTGCATAGGGTATTTTTTCTTCCATTGTAAAATCGGGGACGTCCACGTCTTTGTCAAGAGGATTGTCGTACGTATCGTAATAGTTGTATCCCGCCGCCGGCTGCCAGTAGTCAGGGTTCAGCATCTTTCCCTCAGAATCTGGTTGCCAGGTGGCGTCCTCCTCCAGGACGGGCAGGGTCGGGTAGTCCAGGTTGTCGGGGGATACGGTTGCCATTGGCAACACGTCCTCCTCGTGGGTCTGTTCTCCAAAGTGTGTGGCAGTGGAGTTACCCTGGAAAACATTGGAAAAGATTTATTTTATTACCTTCATGAAAAATGGAGGTATTGTTTATGGTGTGTCTGTCTGTCTGTCTGTCTGTCTGTCTGTCTGTCTGTCTGTCTGTCTGTGTTTCCACACATTTGTAGTCAGCATAACTTCAGAACGTCTTTATGTATTGTGATGCTCAGTTTCCTCTTCCTCTCCAAACCAAAAAGGTCAATGACCTGAACCAGACGTCTGTCACCCTGTGTTGGGTTACATCATGTTGCAATTTCATAGTATATGAAGGTATTCGAGTTTAAGTAAGAATTAACAGAGCAGACCACATGCGAACGTAAGCACTATGCATTTGCTTTAGAAATGTTACCTTGCTAGTTTATTTTGCTTTGTCAGTTTTAGATAGCTAAAGTCTGTTACCTGAACGAAAATCTCTGAGCCGTTGTCCCCCGATCCCTCTGCAGGGTCTACACTAGGCTGCTCTATGGAGTAGGCGGGACACTGGTCCAGGGGTATGGAGGTGAGCTGGGTGTGGTTCTGACAGGCTGACCTCTCCAGAGAACACAGGTTTGGGTACAGGACGCCATCAGAGCCACACACCTGGGCAGCAGGAGGAGCAAAGAAAACCACTGAAGTCATGTTGGATAAAATATTTCTGTTCACATTGAAAAAAATTATAATGATCATTGCCAATGTTTAATGTAATTGCAAAGTTTGATGCCATATAAGCCTGTGTCAACTGGAAAATTCTGTCAATAAAAAAAAATCATTCATTCATTATTCACCTGTGGTCCAGTATCCTCACAGTCCCAGAAACAGGTGCATCGTGGGATATCTTCCCATGGACAGCCAAACACAGAGTTACACTCCAGACTCGGGAAATCTGCTACAGGACAAAACGTTTCAAAGTAAAGATTTAAAAAATGATCATAACCTTAAAACAATGACTTTATACAGCTGAAATCTAATATTCTACATCATTTTATTTCATGATCATTTTCAGCATGAACTTATTCTGAATTCTGTGAATTGCTAGAAGAAACCAAGTACCAATCATTTGTTTCCAATGTAAATTTGCCTGATTTCAATATTTACGATACAATAATCCATGTATCTGTCACAAGCAGAAATAAAGTCCATACTGAAAACATGTTTTCCTAGGCCTTATCAGGCTAAAGGTTAAGTTGATACCTAGTAGACTAGTAGACTGTAGATACCTAGTACATTCTCCTCAGTTGTGTCAAGGTCATCCAAGTTGACCTGGTTACATTCGGCCCCATCCTCACACAGAGCAGTTTGCAGCAGCTGGCTCTGACTGATGTTGTAGAACGTCACAGCTTCAAAACCTGAAGGAAAATAGTTCAAGAGGTTCATCAGTCACGTAGAATTAACAGTTAGTAGAAATTCTCTGATCAGTGACTGTATTTTTGTAAGGTAAATCACGTACGTCCAATGACGGTTGGGAGCTGCCCAAGTCCTACCTACCCCTACTCCGCAAGGAGGCGGGGGAGGTCAGAAGATCCACACAAGTCTCGACCTAGTCTCGTGTTCTCGCGAGACTAGGTCACTCCGTGATCAAGGTGTTCAGTCGACACCGAAAAATTGGAGGTACGTGATCTACCTTACAAAAATAGTCACTGATCGAAGTATTTCTACTAACTGAAGAAAAAATAGTTTGCAAGCAGCTGTAACATCTACAGTAGGAAGCATAGCTTTAGATAACCTGAAGTTTGAATAGAGGGTGTCTAAATTGCTAGAGGGTGTCTTATTTCTAAACTTAAACTGAAGCTAGCTCCTCATTTTTACCTGTGAGTCAAGAGAGGAAATAAGTACAAAAGTATCAGTGCAAAATATTGGGGCCTGCTAAGGATTTGAATCAACCTTCAAAGTCCTGACCAAAAACAACAACACCTAGCCACCTAAATAGAGCAACAAACACATGAAGCAAGAAATAATTGCCAATAAAAATGCAACAAAATGGTATGTACTGACTTGGCTCGTAGTAGTCATATACCCTGACAGGCATAGGCTGGACTTTTCCCACTACGAAGATCCGGAAGGCTTCAAAACTGACACACGTCAGACATTGGCTTGGGATCTGTGGATGTCAGAGATATAATTTACAAGAATTTTTTGCAGAAACTACAGAAAACAGTTAAGATTACAAGGAAAAAAACATGGACATAAGAAAAGATATTCACCAGGACTTGCTATACAACCAACACTGAATCATAGCAAAGATATATTGAATGGAAATACAAAGGTCCTGGTACATTTGTGCATTTATGAATGGTATTAAATACCATGGGCAGGCATACTCATTTGTGTGTGGATGGTGTTCAGCACCAAGGACAGGCATGTTCACCTGTGTGTGGATAGTGTTCAGCACCAAGGACAGGCATGTTCACCTGTGTGTGGATAGTGTTCAGCACCAAGGACAAGCATGTTCACCTGTGTGTGGATAGTGTTTAGCACCAAGGACAGGTATGTTTAACTGTGTGTGGATAGTGTTCAGTACCAAGGACAGGTATGTTCACCTGTGTGTGGATAGTGTTCAGCACCAAGGACAGGTATGTTTAACTGTGTGTGGATAGTGTTCAGTACCAAGGACAGGCTCATTTGTGTCTGGATATCATGAAGTAAAGAGAACTAAATGGAGATATTATATACTTACAACTAAAAGCATGTTAGATATTGTTGGTAACTTTTCCACTTCTTACCTCATCAAAGTAGAAGAAGACCTTCCTCCCATCCACTTCGTATCTCTTAGCATGTTGGTCATGTATCAGCTGGGGAGGGACATAATTTGGTTAAAGAGTATCATACAGTACATAAACTGTACATACATGACAGCTACAGTGAATATAAAGTGATTTACAGTATTTGATGTTTGAAAACTTGCTATCTTGAAGGAAACCCAAAACATTTACCTTCTCCAGACTCTCTATGTCTGCCTCAAACCCAGTCAGTAGTGAGACCTCCAGGACGGCCATGTTGGAAGCACCAGGGGGCAGCCACCTGCACAGGGACAGGCACAGGAAACAGATTTGTTAAAATTTATTTCCTTGGTTTTCTGATATGTTAAGGCAAAAATACAGCAAGGTGACATAATAAAAGCCTGGAATACAGCCTTGTCTTTATACACTGAAATCATCAGCTGCAAGCTAAATGGGGCTATCCAGCTGTCTTGAGATTAATATATAATAGTAAATAAATCTACATATTGTAGTTGTGTTGGAAAAGACATCATACGCTATGCATGCATGGTAGCCTAAGAGAAAATTCTAGCAACCCTTCCACTGGGATGGAGACCCATTCAGTTCCAGATAACATACAAAAGATTGTGTAACACAGGCTGAAATGTATGGGGTTCAGAAGCAACATTCAGATCAAGCTTTTTTGATGTGGAACATTTTCCCGAGATTGACCTTGACTGACCTTGCGCATGCCTCGATGGTGACCTTGTAGTCCCCGGGGTTGGTGATGACATTGCTGACCTCGTTCTCTGACCTCTTGCTGCGACCCTTGACCCTGTCGTGGCGGAGTTTCTCCGAGGTTTTGATGTCGAGGTGAAAGGTCGGGTGGGTGCTGGGGTCGGGGATATTGTAGGTAACGTCGATCTGCATCAGTCCGCAGCCCTCGCCGGTAGCACTCACAAACAGTCGGGTGGGGATACTGGGGATCTGAGGGAGAACCAGTAATTGAATGCATCTGTATCAGCGACACCTGCATGTGCTGCAGTGCAATGTGAACCAGTCAGAATTGCCCTGAGGAAGGTGACAGACGGTCAATGAAAAGTCGGCTGAATAAAAGACTTGGTTGTGTGAAAAGAGTCTCTTTATTCAGAACCAGTAAGGGAATGCATCTATAGCAGCGACACCTGTGCTGCAGTGCAATGTGAACCAGTCAGAATTGCCCTGAGGAAGGTGACAGACAATCACCGAAACGTCGGCTGAACAAAAGACTTGGTTGTGTGAAAAGAGTCTCTTTATTCAGAACTAGTAAGGGTTTGTAAGAAATAAATATTCATTCAAATACATTCAAGTCTCATTCTTTTGATTCTTTCTTTATTCTGAATTAGGACTGAAAAGCTAATATATATTTTCTCTTTATGATTTTGCATGGGCACACACTGGCAAGGTAGAGAATATATGAGTCAAATTATGAAACTTATGCATGTCAAAATTTAAGGCAACAGTCTTTTTTACTACCTATGCAAACCATTTCTTCAACAAAAGTTGTCCTTGTGGGCCTTCGTACCACATTTCTTACCTCAGCTGTCTGTAACACCTCGTGGTTCTCAGAGTCCAGGGAGAAGAACTTGTTAAAGTCCAGGTTAGTAGAAGCCAGAGAGATGTTCAGGTTCACACCCCCGATGTAGGCCAGGATGGCATATTCCGACAAGGACTGCAGCGCTACACATGTGTCCTGGAAAAATAACAGAAGATGGTTTAAAATTTATAAAATTGTCTGTTCTATAGCATAACATTTTTTGGGGGGTTATCAGCAAGTATTATAATAATAATTCTCCCTGATATTCTCTTTTTTGAGCTGTAGATATGCAATACCAGTTGTTTGGGTGGGTAAAAGAGCTTTAAAATTCTGAAATGCTTCCACTGTGCAAGGATATAGATTGTCATTGAGCTATGTGATTCACTGATTCAGAAAACCAACATGTATGGTGGCTGATACAGCAATGACAAAATTCACTTGAAAGCACTCTTAATATCATTAAACAGAAACAAAAATTGTCCTACCTGAGTTGATGAAAACCCTCCAAGGGAGTTGCGTTGCTGGGACAACCACTTGACGACAGGCATGGCGGAGGCCACGTCTCCCATGGCGACGTAGGTCAGCAGGGCGTAGGCAGTCATCTCGACCTCTGCAGAGGACACTGGGGTGGGAGGGGGGCGGAGTAAGGAAACATTTTACTTGCTGTGGATCTAAAGAGCCTTTAGGAAATCTACTCAAATAACTTACACTGTAGCTACATATGTCAAAAACAATATCAGTGCCACGAGGCTGCCTTGGCATAAAAAATTTGTAGCAGATTTTTGGTTAAACAATTTTTTACCTGACTGTCCCAGTCCATCCTTGAACTGTAGAAGCTTCTCTGTCTCTTCCTGTCCCCCATACAGACTCCAATGGGTGAAGCTATCTGCATGGTATAAGAATAAAAAAAGGAATAACACATTCTGCTTAGGAGGCCTGTTGTTAGCCAGAAATCCACCCTGCTGTAGCTTCTAGTTCTTATTGCCTACAGAACACCTGTTATTAGGCCATCATTTGACATGATCATCTGTAATGGAATAACAGGAATCAAACAGGGAATCCAAAGCAAATTTGAATGTAAACTCTGACTAAGAGTATTTGACTGTATATTATTAAGTTATAATGGATTTAAAGTAATTTGTCAAGTATTTCACCTTATGTTCTAGGTAACAAAAGTTTGTGGTCTGAGAAAAATGGAGGTCTTCATGCACGGAACTATATGTTTGTGAGGGTGGCAGGTGCAGAAAAAAGGAAGTCTCCGTGAATTATTTGTTAACGGTCATGATAAGTTTGCAGTACAGAAGTGACCGCGAAAGCCACGAACATAAAAGTAGCAAGAAAAAATCATGAATTACAGTTATGTTACCTGTCTTAATAGCCATGGTGTTGAGTTTTTTGACAGCTGTAGGTCCATGTGAGCTGCGGAGTGTTGTGAGAGCGTAGGCCACCAGAGCTGCAGTGTAGGGGTCCTCCACTGTGTTCACATTCTCCTCCAGAAACTTACGGGCATAGTTTATAGCCTTGTTTACCTCCTGGAACCATAAAGACATTACATTTAGTGATCTGGTTATTTTAACATATTTGGTTTGGTTTTCCTTTGATGCCCATTTTCACCCGAGCGAAGTGAGGAAAGTCCCAACTCGTGTAAAGTGTCTTTCCCAAGGGCAAAAGTTTGGTGACTTGGCAGGATTCAAACCCGAGACCTCTTGGTCCTGACCCAAACACACTGCTATTTACGCCACACGACCTCCCCACAGCAAATACGAGCTTATATGAGACATTCTGCCAAAGTGCTAAGCACAGTACATTACAGGTTTTGCGCAGGCGCAGTACGTTCTGCCGACGTGCTGGTTCCACATACCTTGCTACTGATGCCCATAACATTTGGAAACTACTGAGTGGAGTGTTCACCTTATATACGCAAATACAACTACCTTATATTAGACGTTCTGCCAAAGTGCTATGCACAGTACATTACAGGTTTCGCGCAGGCGCAGTATGTTCTGCCGACGTGCTGGTTCCACATACCTTGCTGCTGATGCCCATTTCCAGCAGGGTAGTGACCACGTAGGCGGTGAGGGACACGCGGCCCTGGAGCCCCCCCTGCAGGTCCTTGTTAATGAGCTGGCCCAGCGGAGGGAAGAACCCGTCAGGTGCCTGCTGGGAGATGATCCACTCCAGCGGCTTCTCCAGTTCTGCCGGGTCGATGTAGATAAACGATCGTGCCTGAGAGAATGACTTCAGCACAAACGATGTCAACCTGGGGTTGGACAAGAGCAGGGCAATAGTTTTATATTTCTTCCAACTTCTGAAAAAAGATTCTGACTCAGAGGTAAATGCACTATAAGCGTGATAAAATAAATGTCTAAGAGAATGACTTCAGCACAAATGATGTCAACCTGGGAATGGATAAAAGGAGAACAAAAATTTCATATTTCTTCCAACTTCTGAAAAATGTATACTTAATAGGTACTATATATCTATAATGTAATACTTAATAGGTACTATATACTAAATGCCCAAATGAGCCTTTAGTTAGAAAACAAAATGAGCCTGAGAGAATGACTTCAGTACAAACGATGTCAACCTGGGGTTGGATAAGAGGAGGACAAAAATGACTTTCGGATTTCTTCCCACTTTTAGATTCTGAGGTAAATGTAGGAAGAAGCCTGATAAAACAAATGAATCAAAAAGAATTACTTCAGCACAAATGATGTCAACTTTCAGTTGAATTGACGAAAAAGATCTTTCTGAATCATATTTTTCCAAGATCTAAAAAGATTCCAAGGAAAATTAAGGAACAAGCCTGAGAAAACATAATGAACCTAAGAAAATGACTTCAGTACAAACAATACAGTTGAATGAGAGGAAGAGAAAAATCGTTATCATATTTTAGATTTTTTTCTAATGATAAAATCTAACTAAAAATGATTCAGGCTGAAGCAACTTAGTTGGGCAGTTGGTATTCTTTCTTCCTTTCCTGACACAAAAAGGAGACTTGTTTCTAAATCTGTGTACATTCATGCAGTTTCTCTACTGTTACATATTAATAGCTCTTCAGTGAATTTCTGAAGCACATAAGCTGTAGAATTGGTAACACTACAACACTAAAAACATACTGTTGAGAAATTCACACAATACATGACGTATTCTCACCACATGGATCCCTGCGAGTCTCTGTTTCCGAAGGCACTGTAAGATCCGTCATACCTACGGTAGGTCAGCTGACGCTGGTAACCTAGGCAGGGAAAGGATCGATATTGGTGTATAAAATAAAATAGATATACAATACCATGAATAAACTAGAAACTAAAGGTAAAAATTGCAAAGCAAATGCATAATGTTTACCTTCGCATATGGTCTGCTCTGTTAATTCTTACACAAACACATTCATATATATGGTGACAGGAGACTAAATCCTTCCTGCTCTAGAATTGTAACAGAAGAAGAAGAAGAACAAGAAGAACAAGAAGAAGAACAAGAAGAAGAACAAGAAGAACAAGAAAAAAGGAGACGTTTTCTTTCTGTAAATAATTACCTTTGACGAGGTATGTTGTAGCCTCCTCCTCCACCTCCCAGGACAGCTGCCCAGTCCTCTCCAGGTACTTCATCACAAACACGTTGGGCGCGAAGTGGATCATGTTCTGTTCACCGCACCCGAACGGCAGCTTCAGGAGGTCGTGAAGGTTCGTCAGGGTGGGGCCCATGACATCACCTGTAACCATGGAAACAACGACACTCAGAGATAAAGTCTGATTAAATTGAATTTCCATATTTGGGTATGTCACCCATAGAAAACTGTACTACAAACAGAAAAACACAAATAAACTACTCTTACTACAACAATCTCTCTAATTATAGTATATATAATATTTTCCAATTAAAACTGACTTCAGTAGACATTGTATTCTGACTTCAGTAGACATTGTATTACACTGTTATTGGTGTTGTATAGTCTGTTGATGAAGGAATAGCATAATTTTCTGAGCCTGGCATCGAATGTGAGGTGGGCAAAAATTGAGACTCTTGGAAACTTCAGAAGAATACAGAAATGATTATTATATGCTACATGACATTATATAGCTAACACACTCAAATATTTTTTACATTGTAAAAACATCATCTTAAAAATCTGACAGCCTTCATTGTCAAGTACATGTTCATGTATATAGCATTTTCCATTAGGCCATCCTTGGGATTGGACATGACTAGAATTCACTTCAGTGCAAAGGTGAAAGGTGGAAGGTCATGACCTATCATGGTGGCCTCTGCCCTCTCTGACCCGGGGATGGTGTTGAGCGGCAGCCCGAGGTGGAACACCTCGCTGTATGTACCGTCTGTGTCTGGGGATCAAAGGTCATGAAAGGTCAATAAAGGTCAACTTACAGCTACAAACTACTCATACAAGAAGGAGTTATATGACTGTATCTATACATGAAACATAATGTTGTCATGAAAATCTAAACTTACATATATAATACAGATTCACAATTCTTCTCATTATTGCACTGTTAAAGTGAAGTTCATGCAACAACAATTATTACAACTTTCTACTTCCACTGACTTTTTGCTCTGAAGCAGCATGCAACTAAAGTTTTGCTGAAATACTAACCTCAAAACTACAGAACTAAAAATTGGCCTACTAACAAGTATGGACTTCAGCATGTCCAAATACAAAATAAAGAATTCAGCACCCTGAGTGATCTACTATTATTAGTATGACTGGTAGAAACCATCCTCACTTCCCTTAGGGGTTATAAAAATCCACCTACCCTCCCGTCTCCAAATTTTGAACTCTCCCAGTGACCCCCAGCCTGTGGAGAAGCCGATGTACTTGACAGGCAGCGGGTCGGGGTCAACCCAGGTCATGATCAGGGAGTCATTAGTCGGCTCTATGCCATAACCAACCTGTGGAAACACAAATTCAGAGACCTTATACTGCCATGAAATGAAAGTTCTGCTGCAGTACCAAGGTCAGCCACTGACCTTGACCTTTGTCTACCTAAGACGTAACCTCATACCAAATATCACAATCCATAAAGGCATTCTGAAGTTATCATGACTACAAATGTGTAGAAGCACACACACACACAAAGACCAAAAACAATACCTCCATTTTTCATGGAGGTAACAAAAAATAAGCTACCTGTACGTACACAGTGTATCAGGTCTTAAATATTTCACCACAAAGTAATTTAGAATTCTTAGAACTGTGGAGAAGAATTTCTCCACTGTACTAGACTTTCTGCTTTCCAGATATAACTGTTACTGACTGACCTCAATGACGCCATCTGTCCAGGACAACCAGAAAGCTCGGAACTCATGCCAGGACAGGATCTCTGGGGTGGGAACTGTCACCAGGTGGTCTCCTATAGGTGTTCAGGTTGGGGTTAATCAAGTTATCAGATTGAATGTCTGTTGTACAATAATGGTCTCCTATAGGTGTTCAGGTTGGTTATGTCTAGTCTGTAACTTAAAAGTCATAGAAGTAACAAACTTTCTTTGAAAGTTTACTTTGTGATCTTAGATTGTACAAAACTATGAAATGAAATGTTTAATTGTCTAGTACAAAAAAACTACAGTTACGTAGTAATGGTAAACCCAGTAAAATAAAATGAGGAGGCAATTTTTTGCCATTTTAGACCAAATGTCAAGGATAGAATTTATTTCTTGGAATCAAATTTCTTTTAGGATGTGTACTAGATAATGATGTACCTTGTTTGGACCTTGTAACCCAGGACTGTGTATTCTGCCAGCCACCAATCACAATCTCGTACATACTGGGCATGTCTGTCGGCCTCGCGGACAGTGACAAATGCACGTCGTTACTGGCTTTTGTAGCAAAGGTGAAGATGGTAGTCTCCGTGGGCTTCTTGACGTACTGGTATTCATACTTGTTGGGCGTTGAGATGTGGATTCTTTCTGGAGGACGGATATTTGACAATGATAAGAGAAATTGCTGATCTGTTTAAGGAATAAGAGACCAGTGTAGTACCCAACTTGATGCTATGTTCATGTGTATCACTGCATCAGAATTTTGCCCGTTGCAGACTTTATCTTTTCCAATGCATCATTTGAAAACTAGACGTGATGGCATCCTTTATTGCAACATTATACGATGGTCACCTTAAATGAGACGTTCTGCCAAATTTCTATGCACAATACATCCTCAAACTGTTTACGACACTATCCAATACAGTGTGACATTATATTCTTTGATATGAGAATGACAAAACGCTCACCATTTGGGCAGAAGTAAACACTGTGAGTGTAAGACTTCTGAGTCCCTTCTGCCTGTAATAAAGGAAATGGAGAAGAAATTTTGAGTTTTTTTCATGCATCGTCCACTTCTTTTCATGTAAACCTTCTGTTCTTTGCTTCATCTATTTGCAAAAATAATTTAACCTACATGAGAATTAATATATAAATTCTAAAGAAATAATAAATAAATAATCATATGTTGAAAACCCCAATCATCAGACAGATATATTAAGACAAGAAAGATCACAGACCTCCACTTCTATCTTGCGAGCGACTTGATCCAGCCCGACCCTGACATAAGGTTCGCTGTCCCACGAGTCTGACCTTTGACCCTCACAACATCGCTGGTCAACAAAGGCTTCAGCATAGGCTGTGGGGAGGAAAGGAAGTGTCAAAAACAAACTTATCTTAGAGGTGTGTTAAGAAAAAGTGTGTAATGGTGCCAGCAAATTTTCCTGAGTTCTAATTGGATTGAAAATTTTCTATCAAATCTCTTGGGCACTTTTCCAGCTAAGGTAAAATTGTCTGGATGAAGCTGAATAGATTGGGTCCAATCCATCTTCAATCCAGATCGAAGCCAGATAAAATCCGATCTATTCGGCTTGATCTGGACAATTTTATATCGTGGGAAAAGTGCCTTAGTCTTCATCATCTATCTACCTGTGATCTCCATGTTCCCAAGCTCCTCAAACACCATGGCAACAGAGGTGTGCTCCACCTGGTTCCTCCCCACACACACCTTCCGCAGCTGTTTCCCTGTCTTCTGGTTCAGGAAGGACACACCTGGAGGCACCTTCACTGTCACATGCACCTGGAGAGAACAGAGATAATAGAATTATCTTACACAGGGATAACAGCAATTAAAATTTTGCATCTTTATACATATTCATAGTGACTTTTAAGGAGAATCCTATTTTTTTAAGACTTTCTTTTTTTGGTAATCATTTGTTTGTTTGGCTGCTATACATAAAGCCAAGTGCCCAATAACAAGTGGATATCTTTAAGGGCAAACCATGGGAGAAATACAAAACGACATAATCAGTAGTGACAATACTAACTTAAGAATACAAGAATAGTTATATCATCACATGTACACATACACAATTTGTGCAATTCAAACTTCACCTCAGGTATGAGAATTCCTGGTTAGTTAAAATGCAAGTAATGTTTATTAAAGAAATTTTACCGGGTGGTCAAACCTTTGCACATGCACACAGTATTTCAAGCCCCGAAAAGAAAAGGACACTGACCTCAGTGCAGTACTCCAGATAGTTGTAGATGGACAGCGGAATTTTGACCTGTTCCCTGCGTATCACGGAGTACGGGAGCGTGAAATCCACGAAGAAGGGTTTGTAGGTTCTCAGCGTGACCGGCGCGGCCAGACTGAGTCCGTGAGTCTCCGACATGGAGAAGGCCTCCGTCACCCAGCTGGTGATGGCGTCCGGCGCTGTCATGGTAACCGTCTCGTGTTTCCTGGTAGAACTGCGGAAAACGGAGCATACAATCGACAGATGGGTAAAAATCCCCCTGCAGTACCACTGGAAAAAGCCAGGTGGACCATGTTTGAACTCAACATTCCTTTCCACAACAGCTACACACAGACCAAATATTTAAAAAAATCCATCTACAACTACTTCCTAGTTGTTACAGTTTTTCTATCTATGAATGCATTGGTTTGATACAAAGTTTAAAATTCATAGTTTGAATTTTAAACCAACCTGGTGTGTTGACATCATGTTGACATCATGGCTCTAATCGTAGCTTTTGGGACTATCAGAGGCTGCCTAGGTCTGATTCTAATTATTTTTTTATTAAAAAAATCCAAGAATCAGTAAATCAAAATTGGTGTGGCTTTGGGATAAGAACACATATGGCTGACCTGACATTAAAGCATTGCCATATCCATGTCTCTGGGAAGAAGACACGTTTGCGTTTCTCTGCGTTCGGCACTCCGTCATGGAACATGGACATGGTGAAGGAACTCACAGACCCTATCAGGGAGTCTGAAGGAGGCACAGGCAGCAAAAAAAGTCAAGTAAAGAAGTCTTAGAATCATACCTGATCCAGTCTCATCATTTAAGACATGACAGTCAAAAAAAGAACAATATCTCTAAAAAATACACCATTTTCTGTACAAAAATTCCTTCACTTTAATATTATGGCGTTACAAAACATATGTCACTTCAAAATCAAATTTCCTTAGTTTGTTGGTTCTTTGTCAGATTTGAATCAAGCCAAGTGTCATCCTTAATGACATAACAAAGTGAAGTAACTCTAAAAATACATCTCATTCTATTATTTTCAACAGTTTGTACTAATGGCATTAAAAAGTACACATATATTAGAAATATATGATTTTTTCAGATTAAATCGAGCTGTTGGTGATTGGTTTGTATAAATTAGTAATATTATCAATAATTTTGGGAACTTATCAAGCTTGATCACCTTTAGCTTTATGTAGACTAGCTAAGTATAAGCACAACTCTAACCTAGGGTATAGAATTTTCTTAAACAACCAGTAAAGGTTCTCACCTGCTTACATTTCGATGTCTTTCAGACACCTTCCTTAGAGCTTCTGAATGGAGTTCTGCAACTTGCCGATATTTATCGCCAAAGTAGGTGGCGCTTTTGCGGCGAGAATGCAATCCCAAACTTGGCTGAGCTTGTATCCCCCCTCGTCCCGGTTCATCACTGGGGTTGACTTGCATTCTCGCCGCAAAAGCGCCACTTACATGTACTTTGGCGATAAATAGCGGCGAGTTGAAGAACTCCATTCAGAAGCTCTGAGGAAGGTGTCTGATAGACATCGAAACGTAAGCAGGTGAGAACCTTTACTGGTTGCGTAAGAAGAAAATTCTATACCCTAAGTATCTTCCAACCTGATGAAATTATTTACGGACAACTCTAACCTGTCTGAAACCAGTTATTGCGATCCTGCCGATGGTTCAGGCTCACAACGTCCGTCATGACTTGCAGACCTGTTTCCTGTAAACAACAACAAACAAAGCACAAACATTAGAATTCAAATCTTGACACTATACAAATATAAAGCACGTTGGCAGAACATACATACATTGTGCCAAAAACGTAAATGTACTTAGTATTTTGAATAGCACTTTGGACTGTAGTTTCCAAATGTTGTGGCGGACAAGAGATTGTCTACAACAGGCTACATTCTGATGCAACGTTGTTCAAACATCCAACAAAAACTGTGAAAAAGCAGGGTTTTGCACAGGTGGAATGTTCTGCTGACGTGCTTATTATATCACATACACACAAACACAGACACACACAAACACAGGCATACACACAAACACAGACACGCACACACATACACACAGAGACACACACACACACACACACAACACACACACACACACACACACAAACACACACAAACACAGACACACAAACACAGGCAAGCCAGAATTCACTCTGTTGTATAGTGAAATTAAAGAGCAAACCTACCATAAACGCATACATGGCGTCCCTGGTGTGTATGAAGTTCCGCCACACTGATGACCTCCTCCTGCGGGCAGAGTATCCCCACCAGTACGGCTCGTCAGTCTCACCTTGGGTCACGTCAAATGTCTCCAGTTCTCTAAAAATCTGTCAAACAGGTCAGACAAAAACTGATCTCACTCAGAAAGTGCTAATCTTTACTATGTGTACCTCACAGAAGTAAATGTATTGTTTTTGCTCTGTTTCTCCTTTTCAAACACATAAGGTCAATGACCTGGACCAGAAAGCTGTCACCATGGTAACTGGTGATGTAGCAGACATCCTATATGGTGTTGGATAACATTATGTAGCAAAGGCATAGAGTTGGAGGGGCTGGTCACAATGTACATTATATATTCAATGTGTTTGAATAAGAATAAACAGATTACCATTTCCTTGGTCAGCTGGAAGCCAGGACGTAGTAGGTAGACACTCTTGTCCACAGATGCCATGCACACACACGAGCCTGGCTTGGACTTCACTGCAATGTCCACTCTGTCTCCCGGCAGGGTCTCATTGTAAGGTAGGGACAGAACCACCTGTGATGGGGACACAAAGGGAATATCTCTACCTCAGTGGAAGCACCAAGGACAGGCATGTTCACCTGTATGTGCATGGTGTTCAGCACCAAATACATACATATTCACCTATGTGTGGATAGTGTTCAGCACCAAGGACAGGCATGTTCACTTGCTACATATGTGTGGATAGTGTTCAGCACCAAAGACAGACATGTTCACCTATGTGTGGATAGTGTTCAGCACCAAGGACAGGCATGTTCACCTGTGTGTGTATGGTGTTCAGCACCAAGGACAGGCATGTTCACCTGTGTGTGAATAGTGTTCAGCACCAAGGACAGGGTTTGACAGATTTGTTTTTATTGTATCTGCATTAAAATAAGTTGAATGCAAGGACTCAACCTCTCGATCTAGTGTTTGCTCACCTAACCACTTGACGCATTTGATGGCCATCCATGTACCTTACAAACTGGTGCAATGGCCAAGTGGGTAGAGTGCTCGCCTTGCATTCGGTAGGTCGTGAGTTCGATCCCCGGGCGAGTGATACCAAAGACTTTAAAAATGGTACATACTGCTTTCTCTGCTTAGCATTCAGCATTTGGGAAAGAGTATGGGAGTTAAACACACACCACTACCAGTGGACTTGCCCCCTGCTGTAGTGATTGCTGTGTGTGGCCCAGGGCTAATGAACGGAGATGGGCGCCGCCCTATGTGTCACTTGACGTGGGAAGGCTCTTTAACTTTAACTATTAACACGTACCTTACTCTCGAACTCCGGCTCCACCTCCAGCTGCATGCTGTCTGCCACCCCCTCACCGTTAGGCCGGATGTAGTACACCACAACTCTGCTGAGGGGCGCCATTGCGTGGGTCACCAACACCTGTATCCTGGTCTCACACACCTCAGGCATCTCCATGGGGGGGTCAGTGGACGTGTCTGGAAAGAAAAAAAATCTTGAATCACGATAAACTCTATTACACAGTCAAGGGTTGTGCAAGTGGCAAATACGGCATATAACAACAATATACTGAGACAAGTCTGCCTTAAGTAGACCCCATTCACATTAAAACAAATTGAACCAGTTCAAAAACAAATTGTTTCAGAATTTAGTAAATAGACAAATGCATTTATGCTGCTCTTCACCAATCTGACTTAAATTCACACTCAAAATGGATTGGAGTGAAAGAGCCTTCCACCTTGAATGTTGAATAGTAAGAAGTCCCCACCTTGTCTGTTGGTACCATTGATGAACTTGATCACACCTTCCTCCAGGATCCTGGTCCTGTTGTCATCAGCATCTCTCCCCTCCTCTTCCTCTCCATCTTCATCCATGGTTCTCTCCACCTGTGGAACCAATGACAGCTGTCACTCAAACATCCATCATTATCCTGATTACTGGGGAACCAATGACAGCTGTCAATCAAACATCCACCATTTACCCGATTACTGGGGAACCAATGACAGCTGTCAATCAATCATCCACCATTTACCCGATTACTGGGGAACCAATGACAGCTGTCAGTCAAACATCCATCAATAGCAATAATACCTAACATTATCATGAAAGTTCATCTGTGTTGGTAGTTACATGTTTAAAGTTAAAACTTTTGTTCCAACACAAAAAATTCTCTCACCTAGAGCTTTCGACCAGTTACTCTGGTCTTCCTCAGTAGACCGCGGCAGGGGCCGACATTGTCTACCAGATACCTTTGACCCAGTGTTGACGTCACACTTCAAAGAAGCCACGTGACAAGCTTCACTGGGTCAGTCTACTGAGGAAGACCAGAGTGACTGGTCGAAAGATCTAGGTGAGAGAATTTTTCGTGTTGGAACAAAAGTTTTAACTTTAAACAAATACCTAACATTGTAAAGGTTGTGTTACCTTGACTTGTAACTCCTCCACAATGTCTTTGGGGTGTTTCCTCCAATGTCCTCTCTTTCTGTCCAGTCTTCTTCCCTTCTTGTCTTCTCTCCATTCTTCCTTATCCTGACTCACCGCTGCGTCATGTTGTTCCAGGGATTCTGGGATCTCTTCTGCATCCCTTCTGATGATGACATGGTCCGGAAGTGCTCTGTAGCATGGAATTATGTGACAATATTGTTTCATAACAATATTTATCTTTTTTCTGGGCTTTGATCATCCTGTATTAAACAAACCCATTTCAAATTTATTATTAATTTATATTTTTAACATCACAAAGAAACAAGAAGAAGCCAAACCTCTGTATTAGTGTAGTTTTAGAGCTGTTTGTACTACAAACATGTATATGTAAGTTTTCATCTGTTCACCTGTACTTAGCCCGATAGGGCATGAATGTACAATAAAGGTTATCATTATTATGTCATAACAAGTTTGTGAGGGGTAAAGGAGGCAGTGTACATCAGGGCCCATCAACCCTCTCTGAACCATGACAGTGGAAGATTCCATCTTCAGGACCATTTTAATTCACTGACGAAGGTCGACCAGATCAAGTGAAAATTCAAGGTTTTTCTGATGTGTTGGAATGACGCTTAGATTTCACAACCTCAAATGAAATCCTGTACATCTACGATCTGCAAAGAAACTCACTGAGAGCTAAAGGCTGCTTCCAAGAAAGAGGACACAGTGGAATGAAATGAAGAAAGAATGATTGTAGTTAGAGGTTGTTTGACAACTACACTGATGTGAAGAATGCAGGGAATCTTCCTCAAAAATATGGGGAAGAACTTGGGTAAACTTCCAAATCATGTCCACAGGATGGTAAAATTAGTGAATTAGAAATGAAACAGAGAAGGCAGCAGATTCAAGTTGAAAACTCTTTGATGAAATGTGTTTTGCACGTTGCGTACCTGTGTAAGCCAGACTGGACGATGTTACCCCTGGACGCCACCTCGTAATTCAGCGTGAAGTCACAGGGACAGGTGGACAGCACTGTAAGGACAGCTTTCTTACCAACCTGTAAGAACCAGCATCACAAAAAGTATTATCACTGGTACGGATCCTCTGATTGGTCAGAAAGAAACCAATCATACGACACCATCTTCTTTCTATCCTGATTGGTTAAAACTGAGCAAATGACATAACAACATCTCATAATTTGGCCAACTCGTAAATAGGCCAATCACATGTCAGCTTTTGTCATTAGCCAAACCTAAATCAGACTTAAAAATGTCTACTCTATAAATATTCTACTCATCTAAAGCAATATTCTAGTCCAAGTACAGGTTAAGATATGTTTTTATAGTGTTCAGCACCAAGGACAGACATGTTTACCTGTGTATGGATGGTGTTCAGCACCAAGGACAGGCATGTTCACCTGTGTGTGGATAGTGTTCAGCACCAAGGACAAACATGTTCACCGTGTGTGTGGATAGTGTTCAGCACCAAGGACAGGCATGTTCACCTGTGTGTGGATAGTGTTCAGCACCAAGGACAGGCATGTTCACCTGTGTGTGGATAGTGTTCAGAACTAAGGATAGACATGTTCACCTGTGTGTAGATTGTGTTCAACTCTGCTAAATTGTAAGTAATATTAACAAGCTTTGTGCTTTTCTTCTACTTTAACTTGACCTTGAAGACAGGTGTGTTGACCTCACCTTGACCTTTTTGGGTGGGTTCTGCACCTGGATGTGACACTTGCTGGGTGAGTACCAGCTACTGATGGACAGGTAGGAGCTGAAGTAACTCTCCCCAACCTCACGCCCGTGAATCGCCAACACTTTGGCCTAGAAGAGTAAAACAGTATGTCAGAGTTTTGTGATTGTGTGTCATGCTATACCAAAATGCCATTGTCCTTCAAAGGCCTAAGTTTCAAGGGTTGGAATATGTGGGTTATATATATTTGATTCAATGTGAACTCTACTTGTGAGGAACTATATGAAGTGTACAGCAGACTACATGTGGCTTAAAAGGAAAAAAAATTACCAATATCACACATTATTATCTTGTTTTATTGTATTTTCTCTTAGTGAATTATAGTATTTGTGTTCTGATGAGAGGACTTTTCATTATGCATTCTGCATTCCATCAAATTCTAAAAAACAAATGTGAAATAAATGAACAAACTACACTCACATCGAGCCAGACATTTTGAGCAATGTTAGGAAGGGCTGGTACATCAAAGATGATCATCCCGTCAGCAGACACAAACTCCTTGGTGTAGAAGAAGACTCTGTTGACGTCTGCCTTGACTTGAACTGTGATGTTGTTGGCTGGGCTGCCATCAGGGTAGCTCACAAGGACCTGGGGGGAGGGGGTGCAATTAAAACTAGCAAATGGAAATCTTAAAGGATTCCAAAGTGTTTGCCTTTCCGTCATTTGGCAGAATTTTGCTGTTTATGACGGACAAATATTTTGCTCAATCTGTCATCTTAGATATAGAATGTATAGAAATATATCAAAAGAGATTTCATTGAACTTAGGTTAGTCTACCAGCAAAATTTGCCCCTCAAAATGCTGGAAATACTGTTCCAGAGAGCACTGTGCTGAGGTCTGGGGTTCCGTGGAGCTTCAGCAGCCTGGGTGCCATCCTCCGTAGTTACCGCCGACTCCCTATTGTCACTAGCTACCATGGAGTATGGAGGATGGTACCCAGGCCAGAGCCTCGGAAGAGGTGATTTTTTTTTTTTGAGAACAGGCAAAAATCAATGAGCGCATGGATGTCATCCATAAAATTAAGTCAGTGTGGCAAAATTAACCGTTAATATTATTTCAGAGAGTCAAGATTTCAAAATTCTCAACCTACCAACCTAATATTTTCAGATATCCTTCAATGGTAAAGTACCGTTTTTGGTCATGTTTGTGTGTTTGCAGCTAAAACTCACAGTGGTTTCATTGATCTCTAGTATATGATATATAATTATAGATTTTTAGAATAGTTATTGGGGTCCAGATGACACAGAATTTTTCATTGTGTATGTACCAGCATTTTTAGGTACTGATATTAAATATTTGATAACCCTGTGATCATCTATCGTTAAGAACTGTGATCAGTCGAATGCATTAATCCTCAGCCTGACTAACAGTTACCTTTCCGATGTAGGGCAGCCCAGGTTTGAAGTGCCTCCTGGTGTCAGGAGAGAACTCGATGTCGATCAGCTGTTTGTTGACAGGCGTGGAGTCGTCCACCGCGGTCTGCGTACTCCCGTCGCCCGTGGTTACCGTCGCCTCCACAAACAACACGCCTCGGAAGTGGTCTGATAGCGCCGACACGCCCATGGCGTTGGCACACACGTTAAAGGATGCCGTGTCATCAATCTGATAGAGGTGTAAAGTCATCATGAGTCGCATAATATAATGTAGATTAGGCCAATACAAATAAAACAATAAAGATTACACATTGTCATAGCATGTCTAGAACAGAAGATACTTAGTAAAAAGTAAGTAAGTCCTAGTTACATACATTTATTCATTACATTGATAAGAATTAAACCTCCTTCATGAAGTTAACAAAAGAAAAAAAAAAAAAGAAGACCATCTCACATCCATGCTGTTAAGAACTGTGGGTCCGATCTCGTCCTTGTAGTAGCCAATCCCGCGGATGGTGGTACTGACAGTCAGCTTCCCCTGGACAGGCTGCCCAAATGTGTACCTGTAAAATAACACTTGTAGGTTTGAGAATTTAGGAAATTTATCTTGATCCAGTTTCAGCTCACTGAAGAGCTAATCTCCCACAGGTTGTAACAAAGAAGACAGACGCTATATAGTCAGTATTTACAGGTTCATTGTACCAGGGAAATTCCCCTGGCTCTTTTCAACAAGCATAGTGAACAGTGGACCATAGCTTAACATCCTTTCCTAGGGACTGCAACCATTTACAGTAGCGTGCATGTTGGATGAGTGACAACATCTGGGATTCGAACTCCCAACCTCTTAGTCCAGAGGCATGTTGCTTAAAACACTGGACTACAAATGCTACTACGAGACAGAATGAATTAGCCAAGGAGTTACAAATTGTTTGATTTTTTTGTGGGCCATTACTTTGGGAAGATGCATATTTTATCAATTGAATTGTCTCATTCTGCCTTCATAATGGAATTGGGCAAATTTGGTTGAAGAGATCTACCAAAATGCAGTCTCAACGATCCCAAAGGTATGAAAACATCAGGTATCCAGCTGAATGTTCAAAATGTTCTTTAGAGGGCCTTAACAATATTATTTATTTTGGCAGTATTAGGTAGCCTGACTACATCACACTTATTAGCAGCTCTGCTATTGGTCAGGCCTCTTTGAGGAGGACCAATCAGACCCTGTCATTGAAAGATTGTGTAACACAGGTTAGCAGTCTTAGGAGCTATGGACTTGTGTTAGCTTTATTTTTTTCGCGCCTTTTTTTTTTCAAATTTTCACCCCAAATCACTCAAACTAACCTACTCTTGAGAAGCAAAGAGACGTGAAAAGTATGTTGAGGAGCCACTTTAGAGTCTTTGTTTAGTTTACACACACTGGAAGTGGATAGGTGATCCTAAGCCGCTCAGTCAGACACAGGATCCCTAAACATGGATTTAATACAGGTCGTTCACCTGAAACTCACCTAACAGAGGGGCAGTGTCACAGTACACATGTTACTGCATGCTACACACGTTTTAGGTCAACAAAGGAGTCGGGGAGGTTCATTGTTGGTGTACGTGTGGGGTTAGAATGCTCTATTCTATATACATATTGTGGTTTTAATTTCTTGTAACAAAAGCATTAATGAAAGCTCCCAAGTTCTGGATAACACACTAATGAATGAATGAATGAATGAATGACTGGTTTATTATGTAAAACATCGCAGCCATCAGGCTGAAGTACGTTTCACTTACATAGAGCACAACTCAATATGACACTACCAATGCCTGTCATATACCCGAAACGTGCATCCTTCAGTGATGCTATTGAACCATCCCTACATGTTACCTATTAAAGGATATCCATCCCATATGCGTCAATGAACCCTCCCTACATCACAGCCTATTCAGTATCTAATCTGCATGAGAAATGTACCCTCCCGCGAAATGTAAACTCTCCGACCCCGACCCTAAACATGTGTCTGCCAATCCAAACACACCACCACCATTCACACCCATTGGACATTTAGTTACACTTGGTGAGAGAAACACAGTGCAGTTTCCACACGAATCACGCTTGACAAGAAATGTACATAGTAACCTCACAACTACCCCGACTCTTTCTTCATACAAGTGTTGCACACTTAGTATATGGTAAAAAATGTAGGCATACTCTGTGTGTACATGGTTCAGCTCTAGTTCCTTGTGTTTATGATATATTACCTTACTTGTGGTACACAAACAAGCTAGTTTTTGCTGAAGACACCTGTTGGATTCCAAAGATTCTGCGTTTTCCCTGCAAGGACACTTTCAGATGAGGTAATTTTGTATGTTGTAAAACTGTGTGGATACTTCTTAGAAAGTTTTGGTCCTTGGCATAAAATGTATTGGTTAGCACACGTTTCTCTTCTCCATTTTAGAGTCAGGTATGGTAACAGTAATAGTATCCTTTGGGTATCTTTCATGACAATCACTAAGAACAAACATTTCTTGAGATACGATTGCTGAATGCAAACTTTAACTAAGTAAGTAAAGACAAACATCAAGTATTTGATGTCATACAAGGTGACTCGTGTATTAAGTTATAAACTTATATCTTACAAGTTTAGAATACATTATTATAGTTCAGTGTTCCAAAAAGTAAAACTCTACAAAAAAAATGAACATTTCTTTCATGGATACTAAATATTGTTATGCCAATACAGTCATTCTATTTTGACAATAAACATATAGTCCATTTTCCATTTCATTTTATTTTTTTGCTTAATTTGCCCTGCAATGTAGCACCCATACAGTTACTTTGCTGCAAGTTTTATGTACATATTATGTATATAATGTTACATATTATGTTGTGCCATATGGGCACTGAGAGGATTTCTATACATACAGGGCAGGCAGCCAACTTTTTGCCAAGAGACTCTATCTACAAGTGACTGTATAGACTATACTACAAGTCATCGTGTAGCCACTTTGGTATTTAATCTGTGCAAAATCAAACTGTTATTTTCAAAGTTCAAGTAGTGACATCATTTTCCAAGTGACCCCTGCATAGATTTTAACCTCTAAATTGCTTTTAAACACAAGTAGAGTTAATCTTTTTCCAACAGCGACTGATTTTCAGCCTCACGTGGCGACACTAAGTCTGATCTCGCCTTCTAACCTGCCACCATTCCGTCTCAATTCATGTTCTATTATTGAACTTAGCTTCACGCATATCTTAACCAGTCAGGAACAATGATTGTAACCAGGCTGGTATAAGATTAATATCTTTCCAAACATCAATAAAAAAGTTGGACGTATTTATCTTCAAACAAGTGGATAATGAGGTTGCTAGCGACCACCTAATTTTGTTTGCACTTCCAAGCAAAGAGCGGACATAGTTCACACATACACGTTCGCAAAACAGCGTTTTGTTCCGCTAATGCTCGTGTGCTTGCAGGAATAATAGACAGGACAAGTACGTGAGTTAGGTGATTAGGGAAAAATTTCAGGTGGGATTCTGGCCACTTTTTTTTAGTAAACCCCGCGGCTTAACTAAGCCTTGAGATCCTGTGTTGGCTGCTGTTGCTGTTGTTTATTCAGGAGTTATTTTTGTAGTTAGGTACAAGAGACCAGGCAGAGTGGATCAGGCAGGTATGTATGGTACATTCAGTCTTTATTCAGGGAGTTTTGTAGGCTTCTTGTAGCTATTCAAGCATGAAATTTGTCTCTCATGAATGCAGTTTTAAAGTGGAAAATTTGTGTGTGTGTTAGGGTTAGGGTCAGGGTTAGTTAGGAACAGTTGTGTAGAGTGTGTTGTACTTGTAGCCATGACTGTCATGCAGGTCATTACAGAACAGAACATAGTGACCGTTGTTCTCCAAGCTTCGTTGTTCTAAAAAGCAGGATCTGTATGTTAGAGGCCCTCTCACAGACTATGAGTGTTGTATCAGCTGAACTTGGTCGTGGGTCTGACTCTTGAGATCAACTTACATTTCAAGTGGGTTCTTAACTTACATGTACCTCTACTAGCACATACAAGTTCAACAGACAATATGTCTACTTTTTTGCAGTATTGTAGCAGCAATGTGCTTTTCTAGAAGGCTGGATTTCTGGATTAAAATTTCCCTTTTTTTGTCCGTTGATGAAACAACATAAAAAACAACATATTATTATAACAGCAACTCTCATAGTTCTGTAGGATAGCCTAAGATGCTGCTACTATAAAAAAATCTATGAATTTTAAGAGCTCTACTAAAAATCAGTATTCCCAAGTAGTGGCTGTATACCTAAACCCATGTTAAGGTCCAGGGACTGATTCAAGTCCTGAGGTTTAGGTTCAGGACCATGGCATATACATTAAGTACAGAGAGGACTTCTCAGTTAACATTTCCCAATGGAAATTGGGGCATCTTTACCGCAAAATATTGTATCGAGCACTGCACTACCAGGGTTTAGAACAATAGAGGCTTAAGCAAGATATCTGGGCAAAACTGTGGCCACATATTTTACGGAGGCCAACACTTGACAATGCCCAGTGGCAATGTTTTCTTCATTTTGCATATTTTGCAAATTTTTGACTATTGAAGATTTCAGATGGTTTAGAACAAAAAGGAGAATGTGACATGATTTTTTGTAAGTCTGGAACTTTTTCCTGCAAACCGGTACAAAGCACTATTCTCAAGGTATGCATACTTCATATATCCAGGTGTTTGTGACATTTGTATCTTTCACGTTGCTAAGTTGCTGGGAGTCTATGTGTACCTTCCCATGGCTCAAGTATTTTAATTTAGATGTTTAGATTAACTTAATAAATCACAGTTACTGTTTATAAAAGAAACCAAGGGGGATAGAGAAATTAGGAAATTATGTGGTGCTTGAAGGAAATTGGCTATCAGACAAATCCCCATGGAAATCAAATTGTACACATTTCTACTTATTGGCGGATGTATTTCATTCTTTGTTCTCAAAGGCATTTAAATGCAATTTTAGGGCGGCAAAACTTTTTTGAAGTTAATTACTGGTCAATCTTTTAATGTAGTAATTTGAATCAATCCTATACCATAGGATATTCATATCTGAGAGGCAAAAAAAGCGGAAAATGTTGTTGCTTGTTTTGTATTGTTGGCTGCTTCAAGCTATTTATGGACAGTACCAAAAAAGAGACGTGTTATGTAGCCTGTTTTTAGACTATTTCAAACTCTTTAAGTATGAAATGAAGACGATAATATGCTAAGAAATGGCAGTAAATGTCAATATCAGTCAGATTTCCTCATCCAGAATATTTTTCCGACCTGAAATTGCATTGGATGCTTTTAAAAGAAGAATAACATCCCGAGCAGGTTTGTATAATTGGTCCACTTCATTCACACATGTATGAGCCAAACTAGTTCTATTCATAATATACAAAGCCTCGGGCAAAAAATGACTGACTCAGATGTATTGTATACACATTAAGCTTAGCTTACTTCTAAGGACACTCAGAAACCAGGGAAAAAACAACTTTTGCGAACAAGGTATTGCGAGTCTAATTTTCAGATTTTCCTGTTAGTTTGGTCAACGGATTTGTACACAAGTTCTTAGACCACCAGTCCTATTCTAATTAACTGTAAGGCTTGCTGGTGTCTTATAATGCGTGTGACCCACTTTAAGTATCGACTGTTGTCAAAGGACTGGTTGTCAAGTGGACTTAAGTCGACTTCCTGTGTGTACTATAAGACAGGTGGTCAGTGTAAGGAACGGAACTGCACAGAGCAGAAAATTCTGGATTTACTGGGTTCTTACAATTCCATGCCACAGAAATATCAGGTAAAGCTATATTATCTGTTGCCTTGTTTTTGCAATAGATAGACTTTATCTGAAATCTTATTGTGCTGTCATGTCTTTCTTGTATCTATGGTAAAGTCAAATGGCAGGCAGTTACAATGTATGTTGTGCAAACTCTGCTAACAATGGTGAAATAGGTCACCCTGGTTTTACATGGCTCAAATTTGTTCCTAAAACCAACTGTGTAATGTTGTGTGATTTTGTTGTAACATTTAGGGTCAATTTGCCTTGTGCAAACCTTACACTTAGACATACAATGTAGAAAACAGTCCGGGACCCATGATTTTAACATAACGTAATATAATATGCAGCTCTGATATAGATTATTATGTTCAAGTCTGATTTAGGACCATCATAAAAAGTGGGTGTGATATAGAATATTTGGCATTCTAAAGTGCTTCTTCTTTCACAATTCGCTTAAATTTGGAGTAAAAATCTAAGCTTGAAACTTGGTTGATAATTTCGTTGAATCATTTTTAGACAGAGTCAAATGGCTTCATCATTATTTGACATCACCTATTCATGTTGTCCCTACGTATCTGTGATTGTCCTAAGAATGCCACATTCTGTGATAACAGGTGTTGTTGGTATGTACTGTAAGGGACCAGGTAAACACCACACAGCGTTATCTACTGCTGTTAGCTCTGGTAACAAAACATGCCAGAAGTTAGCTACAACAAACCCATCTGTCAGGCTATGTGTATGCTACTCCCTTATGTTACCAGGTATTTTGTAGGCATAACTTCATCATCGACATGATACATAATATAATACAAGGCTTCTTCTATATGCATGCAGTCACTGTCTTTTTTATTGTAACATGTCATGTTATAATGTTAGAGGTAAGTTTTATTTTTGCTGTTGTTTTTGAATGGGCTACAGTATTGTTTCCATTATTGACTTAAAAACATTGTGAAAAAACTCTTTTCATCTCCCATTCAATCCCAGTGATATAGATAAATGAATTAAGAGTAATTTCACATTCAAAGGTGGAAACTTTGTTGTAAATGTTTCAGTGGAAAGAGATGAGGAAGCAAAGTTAGGTTAGCCAGCTACAGGTAAACACAATGAATTTATATATCATCAATTTTGCTGACCTCTGTTTTCTACTAAACAAGCAATATTTGTTTTGCAGGTGAAACAAATGAAGAAAGAGGCAATTTGTGCCCAAAATTTCTCTTGGTCAAAAGACAACCCGATCAAGGCTGTTGTCTGACACTCTATGGAGTTTGACTTGCTCAGTATTGACTGTTAAATCCTAAGAATGAATATATCGAGCAAACCTGGACATAAGGAGGCCACCCTTTCATACTGGACTTTAAAAAAAAGACTGCAGTAACATCATCTTTATCATATGCCAGCGAAACAAGGGCCAAACATCTACGGACCCTTCTCTAACAATACCATGACAACACAGTTTGGACGAGAGGGCCAGTTCTACCACCCGTTTGCGATAGGGGTGTCTCGTGAGCATGTGTACGTGGCAGACAGGGCAGGGAGGGGCCGCGTCCAATGTTTCACCTTCCATGGTGAGTTCCAGAGCTGTTTCAACTTGTACTTCAAGAGGGAAGAGGTTGATGAGACGGTTAACGGAATTAATGGACACGAGGAGGAAGAATCAGAGGAGGATGGAATAGAGTCGACTGATTTGGAGAGTCTGACATGGAAAACTCTTGAGTTAGAGGTTGAGAGCGGTGCACTGATTGTTGACGGAAAGGGTAAAGTCATATTTGTGGGACGAGGAAAACCTTGTGGAATGGACGAGTACACCAGCATGGAATGCACGCCCGTGATCTACATCTACGATCCTGCCACCGAGCAGACGACGCTCACGCGGATCACGAGCGAATCCGGCGTGATCGTGAGCAAGATCGAGGACGCGAGGCTTCTACCCAACGGCTGTGTCGCGCTCGCAGATCAGAACAAGGTCCACCTCTTAGACCCGGCGGGGTCTATCGTATCGAGTTTGGACTTGTACCATCCGGAGGGTTTTCCGGAAACCGCGTCAGAGATGTGTTCGTGTGGCAACGACACCGGCCAGGGGTCCTTCATACGCTATCCTGTACGTTTTGCAGTGTACACGCAAGACAACGCCATTCTACTACCCGTGTCTATTACAAAGTACGGCACGATTAAAGTCCTGGACAGCAGAAAACAGACCGTTTGTTTCCAGTTTGGGTCCCTCGGGCTCGGTGACGGGCAGTTCCATGGGACTACGAGTTGCAACGGACCCTACAACTACCCCCGCGACGTGTGTGTGGACATCTGGGGAAGGATCATTGTTAGCGACTACGGGAACTGCCGTGTGCACATGTTTGACCGAGAGGGGAGGTTCATTAAGCATGTAGTGACTAAGGAGAGTGGACTGCACACACCCATAGCAGTCAGAACTTCCCGAGATGGTAGGGTGGTGGTGCTTAATGCTGCTCCTCCATATGTTCAGATTTTCTCCTACGAACCATAGCAAATGGTGTGGAAAGGATACAGAACAAAACTTTAGCTGTGGTCAAAGAGATGAGCTGGTGAAAGTCAACATGATCTTGAGCCAGTTTAACTCACTGAAGTCATTACAGAAGAGACTAATACATACAGTATATTACAGGCTCATTTCACTATAGCTAGCCACTAGCATTTTTGGCAAGCACCATGATAAACAGACATAACGTCATGATTGAAATCTTTTTCAGTAGTGTGCATGTCGAGTGTAGACATACACTTTAACAGCCGGGATTTGAACCCATAACCTCTAGGTCCACAGGCAGAGTTGCTAACTTTTCTGCCCTGCAATTGCTAGCCAAAAACTAAAGTTAAACTCTTTTATCCTTTTTAGATCTTGCACTTAGTAATCTAACCAAATTATTTATTACTGATGTCACAAATTTGAATGGTTTGTCTCTTACAAGAGTGCCTCTTACAAGAGGTACATGTATACACAAGTCATTGAGGAATATTGTGCAATTATTACATAATGGCTCCTGATGTATCCAGAGCCAAGCTTTCTCCAGAACCATACTCAGGTACGGTTCTGGATAAGTCAGTGCGTATCATGAATGATGTCTGGGGCAAATCTATCTTCTTGAATACAAGAAGACTAAATTACAATGCATAGTATCCAAAACTGTGCCTGATCCTAATCCAAACTCAATCAGGCACAGAACTGAATTGGCATGAATCTGGATATGATTGTTCCTCCTTTAACCTGAGTTCTCCCTGATGACTGCATATCCTATGCAGATAATACTGTAATAGCCAAACAGGCCTCCCTAGCAGTTAACATCTGTGTCCATAATATCACCAGGGTCCATAATATCACCACCTTGAGAAATAGTGTGCTTAAAGATATTTTTACTGCAACATACCCTAGGTATGTACATTTGATGTGTGAAGGAGTGCATACCTAAAGTATGTTGCAGTAAAAATATCTTAAAGCACACTATTTCTCAAGGTGGCGATATTGTGGACCCTGGTGATATCATGGACACGGATGTTGAAGGGTTAAAGAGACATCCCCCTGCTCACCTGGCTGTGATGTTCACCTGTTCACACCTGTCCAAATCAACGATGTATCTTGGAGGAGTGATGATGACTTCAAACTTGGGTAGAACTAAAAGAAAAGAAAAAATCCATTACAGAATTGTAACATAACATAACATAACATAATAATGGTCGGATAAGGAGGCTATATAGCCTAATATAGTATATAAATCCGCTTCTTAAGCTTAACATTAAACAACACAAATATAAAGTTCAGTTCTAAGCACAAATATAAAGTTCAATTCTAAACACAAATGCAACATGCAACAATGTGAATTGAGAGTTGAGACATTACTAAGATCCATTGATGAAAATTAAACATCCAGGTAATGAGAAATACAAGGAAAATGTTACTCAAGCAACAGGATAGATTTTAAAAACTGATGAACATTTCAAGTAGCATCCACTCAACAGCCTTATGGACCTTGAGTCACTGACAAAAATAAGTGGACACTACTTGAAATGTCTGACAGTTTTCAAAATGTATCCACTTGCTTGAGTAACATTTTCCTTGTGCATTAGCAAGATTATTCAAAAACAATCTTTATGAAATAATGTAATAGTTACAGACAAAAGAAGTTGATAGCAAAGTTTTAAAAAGTTAATATTCACCACCAATCAAGTCAAAACTTGATTCAGAATTTCATGATTAGTGTACATGTACTTAATGATTCATTAATTTATTCGAATTCTATTGTAAATTATTATTCAGAATTGACGAAGGATGATTGTAGGAAGAAATCTTGGTGCCAGTTTGAATTCAAAATCAATGATGATGTGCAATTTGGGGAAACTTTTAATGAACTGGCTTCTGTTATCAAACAGAATATCTTCCTACAATATCCTGATTTGTACCTAAGAATTACGACAAAGAATGTTGTGGAAATTAAGTCCTTAAAAATTGCAGAATAGTTCTTGTGATTAATTGACATACTTTTTACAAAAACATGAAGGTCAAACACCAGGTAGAATATTGTTTGTTATTATTATTGATACAAAATAAAAATTAAAGCAAATTGGATAAATTATCTGAGATTATTTAGACTATTTCAGCCACCGATGAAAGATAGAAGATGCTACAGCTGAAACATCTGACTTCTCAAAGAATTTATCCATCTACTTGATTTTTTTATAATACGTAATGATAACACATGTATATTCAAATGCAGCAAGATATCTGTCTACACCATACGTACCGTATTTCTGTATACTGAATGTTTTGTTGTACATCTGTCCCTGCACCTCCACAAAAATGGTCCAGTCCCCCAGAATGGGCTGGTCCGAGATGGGGAAACTCATGTTCACCACCCCTGCAAAAATGGGACAGTCCAAATCATTCCAAGGAAACATATGTGGGATTTGTTACTGTTAAAATATTGTCTTTGTTTTTCTGCCATCCTTGTGCACTGTTGAACATTTTCACAACTAACAATTCTCAATATGTGACAGACCACGTTCACATAGCCTCCTTTGCAGACTTCTAGTAGGGCAGTGTTTATTTCTACAAGTGGCTAGAGTTTGTTTGTTTTTTCTACCCCAAAGCTATATCGCCTGCTTTGTTGGAGACACATTAGATAACTTCCTTGCTGCATAACTCCCTCTGTCTCAATACAGAACCTTAGCCAATGTAAAAAAAATCCCCCCTTGGACAAAAAAATATCACTGCCCCTCCAAAAAGTCTGCAAAGGAGGCTACTGTTAAAACCATGGAGTTACAGAGTATAGTTGATAATCATTATGTCACAGTAAATGTTGTCAGCAACAAAACAACGCATCTTACAGCACCAAGAGTGTCTACTGCCGCAATATCATGTAATCATCATAGCCCAAGCATGGGAAATTGTAATTTGGAAAAGCAATAAAAGCAATGTTGCAAAACAAATTTAACATTTGCAATCAATAAAAACATCCAGAAAAAGCTCATTTTTGTGATTCGTCTCTCATTTCAGTTCAGATGTGGGATTGCTAATAACTATATAATAGTATGCTACCATCAGATCAGGCTATTTTAATGAAAATATTGACAAAACAGTGGAACTTACCACAGCAAACTGGCTTTAAGTCCCTCCATTGGATCATCTTTGAACCATGTGGGTCCTGATAAATACAAAGAAACAAACGGATAAAAAGAAAAAGTGAAATTGATACTGATGTGAAAACAATTTTATCAAAGTACAGCAAGTTATAGTTTATGTTACAACATCAACAAACGCACTGAAATATTTTGTATTCTTTTTGAGTCCTATCACTCTATCATCTAAACAACTGTGAAAATTTAAACAACTTGTGAAAAACCTTTGAATCCAATCACTTCAATAATCAAATCTACGAGTATCAGAATGCACAAGTTGATCATTGCACACAATGCCTATCCAATGGTGATACAAAAACGACCTCTAGCAGTCCAGCTCAGTACTGCAGCACTACTCTAGCTCATACCATGTATACTCACCGTTATGTAAGCCTCCATCTGTTTGGGGAAAGAAAATTAAAATACTTGGTCAATAACTGAAATATTAATGGTAAAATTTGTAACGTTAACATTACAAAATGCCGGTGTCAAACATTTTTGTCATTCAATTAAGCAAAGATATCCAGCTGCAGTGAAGTGACAAATTAAGTGTGTGGCGTACAAGCTAGAGAAAATAACAGATCAAGAAACAAATATTCAAACAAACAAACAAACAAACAGTCACAGAAGTGTGCTTACCCCTGCGTCCAGTGGCCGTAGGTTGGGGGTCGTCGTAATCACATTGATAAAAGCTGTTGGGATAGACGGAGAAAAAAAACAACATTTTAGCTCAATAAAACAAGTATAAAAACACTCGTGTACGTCATAACTACACATGTGATGAAGTTAAATTTATACCATGGAGGTTTCCATTCTGATTATCCTCCTTGAAATTGGCTAAACTGAGTTTTTCCAGCGGCAATACGACTCGAATAACGGGACTACAACTTTGGGGGCAGCCGAACTTCAAACCTTCCTACGCGGCCTCCCTGCCTCGAAACGTGTTCTTCCTCGCTAGGACGGCGTTCTTCCTCCTGTATTCCACCTCCTACGACAAGGCATGGTTCTCTGTCTTCACGCATACTTAAAACTATTTGTTAAATCAAAACATTAACTTGTTGACGCGTGGAACTGCAGTTTTTAGTAGAGATGGGAGTTTGACCTTTCACCTTTGGTCTATACTAGTACCGATTATCCAAATAATTCGCATCAATACCGCCTATCTGACACTGCCTCGCCGCATCGTCCAAATCATGTCGCAACATATTTCTGACATTAAAAGGTCACATTTAACCCGGCTTTCTGACATTACAGACAGAATTTATTGTGAATTCATTCATCCATTTCGAACTATCTTATGTTTTCCCCGTAAACGTAGCTTGGCCTTTGACCTGACGTGAACATCATATTATCCATATCAAATCGCAAGAAGTTCGCGTATCTCATATAACCGACAAAATCAATTTCATGTACACACATGCTTTATGTCCGTTGCCAAAAACTTCAATATACATGTTTTGTTTTGTTACGGACATTACAAACAGTCTGCTTATAAGTACATGTATACCATCAACACATGGACAACATATCTTCTCACGTCCTCGAGTTAGGTTCGTGGACACAACTTCACAAAAACTCCAACACTCCAACCGGCCATGTGCCCGGCCGGAACTCTGATTCACCGATCTCCCGTCACGATTCCAACACAGTCCAGTTTGTTTTGAAGTGGCGCTAAACATCTCAAATCTGGACACCGGTACACAACATGCTAACTTGTAAACCAAGGAGCCACTTGAGAGCGACAAGAGGGTCCTGTGCGATACTCAATGTTGACAAGACTCTCAACACTGTGTTTATGTGCTTGATAAGAACGGACAGGCCCGTCTAGGGTGTTCAAAGTGATATGCACAGAAAATGACATTCCTCTACTTTAGAGTACGATCACTCTCGGCCAGTAAGGGCACTGTCTTTGCTCATTAAATCATGATCACGACCTCCTTTCGATCAGTTTTCTACACAAAAAGTTACAACGAAGAACTTATAAGTGTAATAGCACCATAATGTAGCTTTTCTTGTATGCTCCATGGAATCATAGGTACCATCAGAAGTTCACAACTATGTTGTGTTGAAAGTTATGTTGAATCTTCAAAAGTTCTCTCTGTGTATTTTTCTCCTAATCTCATCTTTAGGAGTAGTACTATGTGTTCCTTATTGTCATTGATGTTGTATCCGATGATCAGTAGATTGTAGTGAATTTCCGTTTTTTTTTGTACAATTTTTTTTGTACAATTTTTTCCTGTCTTTTAAAACTCCAGTGCAGCCGTGTCAGATGTCGTCTGAAATGTCACTGATCGTACGTCGTTGACGGTTTCCACCACCTCAGTGAGATAGAGAACCCTGCGGGATGTTTGTGTAGTCTGTTTATCAACAACACAAGGAGGTTGTAAACGTCCTGTGGTCCTACTGGAACTTGAGAGTTCTGACTCACAGTGGCGTGACATGGGGTCTTATCTAAACACCAGTAAAGCATCAGAAACAAGCCACCGACACGAAAATCTAGAGTTGTATTTGAAACGAAAAGTTTCCAACTGAACACGAAAGAATATTTCAAATTCATATTCAGAACTGGCATGAATGTTCTAAATCGCTGTTTTGAAAAAAATGACATGCAAAACATTCTATGCTTTTATCATCACTGAATTTTGGCACGAAGTTTGATTTGTCCGGTTCTGACCGGAACTAACTCTGACGCAAATGGGAACAAGAACGATAAAACTTTTTTTTTCGACGCTGAAAACATCGCTTATTTGTCGTAAACATTAAAAATCTATAGTCTGTTTATGTCGTACATAAACTACAAATTCCCTTTTTTTACTGTTTTTCAGTGATAAAACTGTGTGGCGCCCGGGCAGTTTACCGGCCATGTTTGTCAACAAACTGTAAAACATATTCCGTTTGATTGTGAAATGTCTGGTTCATGGCATGACTGATACTGGAAATGTACATCGCCAAGGATGTCTGAGCTGACCAACAAACTGCATGTATGTGTGTGCACGCCTGTATGTGTGTGTGTGTGCGTGTGTGTATGTGTGTGTGTGTGTCTGTGTGTGTGTGTGTGTGTGTGTGTGTGTGTGTGTGTGTGTGTGTGTGTGTGTGTGTGAGCGCGTGTGTGTACCCAGTGCAGCATCAGTGTTTTAATAATTCATGGATAAGGCAATCCGTATACTGCCCGCTAAATTCGCATCATTATTTCATAGTTCGGGCAGTTAAAAAAGCACTGCAAAAACAATCATTGGGACCTCCAATATGTCAGCCCAGTCGGTAGCGTGGTCATTAAAATTTTCAATGAGTTCTCACCACACGTACACAACGCCATCGCATTTTTCCTCCACGAATTTCTAACGTAAATATACAGTAAATAGGTGAAAATCCTGTTTTCAAGCCCTGGGATTTGTACGTGCGCCTTTAAAGTGTAATCACAACAAATACAGGCAAAGACAAATACATTGTACATGTGTAGATAAATTCGAGAACGAAAACATGAACCAAACGTGCTTCCTAACACTCGTTAAGTGTCAGGAATCCTGCGAATGTTCCCATCCATCCACCCACTTCTAACTACCAGAGATTCCAGACATTCTGTGTTGATATGGGGGACCGCCACTTGACATGACAAGGAAAGAACCGCAGTCAAATACTTGAGCGTGGCTCAGACATTCTAAGAATGCATAAAAAGCAACAAATTACTTTTTTCCTTTACAAAGTGGTCACGATAATTGTAAGTCGTCGTACAGTACGATTTTGACGTCGTAGGATGTCCAAGCGGGCTGTGAAAGAACCATCATCCGACAATGATCACCGATAGCTCTCTCGATATAATTTTCTTAAGGGCATGTTGGCCCTGGAGCCAAGGAACTGGCCTGTGTAGGCCCAGGAAATAGTCTGGAACCCAGGTAGGCCCCCATCGCGTTCACCACGATCATCGCGCGCTCTGCGACCTGAAATTGGCCGGAGCGCGGACGGAGCGCCGAGAGAGCGCCAAGGTCGCCATGGGAGCATTTGAACCAGCTCAAACCGTCGCCGTGAGAGCGCCGAGGACGGCGATCTAACAATGACCGCAGAGAGAGCGCCATTAGAGCCACGCGTCAATTTATATTCCAAACATGGCAACCTCGGAGATCTCACGGCGCTCTCTCCGCGCTCTGGCCACTTTCAGGTCGCAGAGAGCGCGGCGAGAGCGCCGTCAACTGAATGGGGGTATTTATGAGGAAAGCGGTCCTGTTACTAGTCTACCGGTAACTGCTGACCTGTTTGCCCGGGTTTGTACACGGGTTTGTCCGTCTGGATGAAGACGGTCGAGCCCCTCTCCTCGATAACGACAGACGTGGAGTTGTGAAAGAAGAAGACCTCCTTTTCCCCGACTCTGGCGGCCTGGGCACAGTTCCCACACACCTGCAAACATCAACAATAACATTCTTATTAGCAATACATTAGTAATAGTATAAAGCAGAACTATGTCCTCGGTATTTTATTCCGCGACAACTGTAAATGGTACAATGTATGGCAACAACTATTAAACAAGTAGAATAGAGGTACATGTATAAAATAAAACTTAATTAGCATCCTAAATTACTACAATAATAAGGGATAGCAGAAGCAGATATAGTTGTACAATCGAGTGGGGCTAATCATGAGTTTCGGTATGTTAGCGTTAAGTCAACATTGCTTTTGATATTTTGGTAATCCCCCATCCATTTTCTAATGTCACATTTCCAAACCGATGCCCAACCGGGACTAGAAACGCTACATCCTACGGACCCCTTGGACAGTTGCCTACTGTCTGTGTAAAAACTGACCTACCTTTAACGTGGCCTTGCCTTTTGCATCATGCGGTACCTGTAAGAGAGAGTAGTAAACCATTTAGGGGAAGTAAGGAACAAGGAGACCTAACTACATTTGCTGGCTAAAGCGTCAGCTTAGCCGGTTTCGGTGTGTGTGTGTGTGTGTGTGTGTGTGTGTGTGTGTGTGTGTGTTCAGCACGATAACTCAAGAAGCGTTGGATGGATTGTCGTTAAACAAGGTAGGTGGGTAGATCTTGATAAGACCTAGAAATAATTAGATTTTGCCCCCCCCCCCGTGGCTTGTTTTTTGCAAGATGCATCACTTAATCCATGTTTACATCTAACAAAAACGAATTTGACCCTGTGACCTTTTCCTAACGTAATTTCAGCTCATCAGATTATACTCCGTAAATAAGAAGATTGGGCCGACAGTTATTTCACCTGTTTTACGGTCACTGTAAGGTGAATAGGCTTATAATGTGGAAAGGTCAAGTTCAAGTGAAAGTCCATCACAAATATCAAGGCCAGGGCGCGACTTTGAACTTTGTTTACCATGATTTTAACTTTGCTTACCATGATTTTCTCCTGATATACATGGTTTATCCTAAACCCGTAACAACATGAGATGGGTTCGTCTGAATGTCACTCTAGTGGAGACTGAAAACAAACAACTCAGTGTTCCGTACAGCGTCGAAAGTACCCAAGTACCATCTCTTTCTCCCACTCTTCTTATTCTATCTTATTTTTTTAATCATTTCTTTCGTATTAGCTTTCATTGTGAATCTCTTTCTCTTAACATGCCACTAAAGGTAGGTGAAGCCAATATGGGGAGTAGTGTTGATCCACTGTGTCTCGGGTACAGCTTTAGAAGGCTGTCCTTTAGTTTTAACGTATGTGTGTGGTTTAGCACGATAACGCAAGAAGTTTTAGATTGTCATAAAAGTAGATACTATTAGGTGGATAGGTCTTGATGAGACCTAGAAATGATTAGATTTCATGCCCCCTGGCGGCTTGCCTGGGTACTGCAGCTGAACCTCCGGTTCTGATATCTTGTGATCTGGACATGCTACGGTCACGGATTTTGGATGTTAGAAAGCTCTTGGGCTAGGGAAGAAGCGGCATTAGTTTGGCCCCCTAGCAGCTTTTCTTGAACTGTTTGTTTAAAACTTGTTTTCTCTTGCTCCGCATGCATTGCAGACACTTTGCCCAGCTAGACAACACGCATGCCCAGTGTCCTCCCTTAACCGTGGTTTATCAGGATGTACTCCAACAAGTGGCGGTTGTCTCTCTCTCACAGCAACACCGGGGAGGAGAGCACCACTTCAGCCGGGCTGTACACGGGTCTGTATCTGTGGAGTACGGGCAGCTGGTCTGTAGTCACCCGTATCACGGCTTAGTCCAAACACACGTCTGGAGAGCACGAGTGCGTGTTTCCGCTGGACTGTACTTGACGTTATCTGTGTGTTAGAGCAGGTTTCCTGTGTTTGGTACTTCTTCAATTTCGAACAAGAGGCAACGAGACTCAGTCCTCCGTCTTTGTGTGTATGTGTGTGTGTGTGTGTGTGTGTGTGTGTGTGTGTGTGTGTGTGTGTGTGTGTGTGTGTGTGACTGTGTGTAACGTTACGTTTGTAAATCTAGGGTCAAAACGCGCATACCTTCATTCCATGCGGACCCTTGCAACATCTTCAAAAAGTGACCTGAATGAAGTTCAAGTTTAAGTTACAATTAAATTCCTCCCGCCCCTAAAATCTTGGTATATAGAGCGCTTGTCATCCCTTGCCATGGACCAAAAATTTTAAGTCGTATGGACAAAAGTAGAATCCAAACAAAAAGACTGTCTTGCTCTGTATATATGACATTCAAACAGATGTTGACAGGAAAGATCGCTAAGTTTTTTATTGTCCCATTTTTTCTGCTTGAATATGGATTGTAGAATGGCAAATATAGAGTTACAGTGTTCATTCACAAATTTGCCTTACAGTGGAAATAGTAATTTCTTATTATTTTGATAGAATTTCGTCTGTATGCTGTAAAAACGTGTGCATCACAGTGCCCTGGGTACGAGTTTACCCGGTACAGGTGGTTGACCTTCTATCACCTGATTTATCGTGACCTTCGGTCAGCTGTGGTTTGACCTCTGCGGCTAAGACTGACGGGAGCGAACCTTGGAACCACAAAGTGCCAAAACAACGTTCTTAGGGACAAAACTATCACTGCTGGAGGTCAGAAACCGTGGAGCTACTCCAGTTAAACATTCACCAAATGTGCTCCAAATAGCGCAATGGATTACGCAATCAAATAACAAACCCGCATATTGTCTTAACTCCTACTAGAAAAATTATTCCACAAATACCTTAAGAGCTTGATGTTTCAAGCCTGTATGACCGTAAAATGATTGTTTTAACAATATCTGTATGAATGTAATGACTTAATAAGAGAGAGTAAAACAATAGGAAAGTGCTCAGTGACACACTTGACTTAACCTTGGACTAGTCCATTGTGCATCGTTCGGGGGGGGACTGAACGGCACTTGTTTCGGACAAAAGAGAAAAAAATACTAAAAAAACACAACAAGGGGTGTTAAGAACAACTTAAACGTTGAATTTTGAAATGGCATGTAATGTAACATTCAAAAAGTACAGAAATGTAACTTCAGATCTTATGTTATTGTTCTAAAATAGCTTCGTCCTGAATATGATAACTGAACTGTCTGAAATGTTTGTTGTGTAAGAAGAGAGAGTCTTTGTCCTACCTTGAGACGTAAACTTCCTTTTCCTGTAAGAAGATAAGAAGGACAAAATACTTGTAAGTTGATGTAAATACAGCTGAACCTCTATGTATATCGATGCAATTAATAACGTAAAATGCACAGTATTCACAGTAACCAATCGCAATATATTTAATTAACTCAATGTTTAAGGTTCGATATTGTGAAGAATATACGATCTACCGACTTGCTACTTGGAGTAAAGTATTATAGAGCCATTGTCAAACTATCAGTATGTTGTATTTCAGTGTATTTTGGGAATTTTGTTGTCTTCGTCTTTCAAATCATATTTTCAATTGTCTTAGCATGGGTCATACAAATGAAATTCTGATCTTGAAATTAAATTTCATCTGCATGTAGAAGCCCCTCGACGGAGACGGGGCGCGCCACAGGCTTTCTGCAACTTATAGTCGAGTTACGTGACTGTGTCATTTGCATAACGTGACGTTACTGAAGCGGTGGATTGCTCATTCCTTGACAAAATCTAAAGGTATCTGTTTTTTACCTTTTCAAACCGTTTTTACTGATTGAGGAATATTCTACTAACTTCACAAAGACTGGAGTTGTACAGTCGCAAACTTGTTCAATTTCTTGTATTAGAAATTACAGTAAAATCCAATTCTAGTTCGCTCAACTGTCTCTATATATCCGGCTGAAGGGGGCCTAAATCCCTGGTTTATTTTATAACACCTCGTCTGAATAGTATGAAGTGCTAAAATCCCGACAGAAAGTTTACTAAGCCATAGGTTTTATACGCTGAAGCAGTGTACAGAAGGGCTTTGGCTTCTGAAGTGTCTATTGACTCCCCCAATTATCCCTGTCGGTGTTTCTTTGATCTGGAATTACAGGTAAACTATCTTATCTTTATTGGCGCAGGTGGGTCATCCTTCGTATCACTCCTTATGTTTTACTGTGTGGTACTTTTTTTTGTTCGCATAACCGGTAAAAACAAAATTATGTACAGAAAGTACAAGCTGCGTAAGACCATACTTTAACGTTTGAATGGCCCCCGCTCTTTTTGAAAAGTGTAGCGGGTTCTTTAACGTGGTGTGGCTATCCTAAAATACTGGACCTACAGCTTTACGTTCCATCCGAGAGGACGTCCCTAACCGAAGCTAGGTACTCATTACATAATAATTCTATGACCTCCTTGACCCAATACTTTAGTGACCTAATACGTCAGTGATATGATCTTACGGACTGTATGTGATAGAGATTGTTGACATTTTAATCCCCTGTAACACATCCAGAATCTTCCAAGGTTGACTGACGTTCGGGAGTGGCCTGAGTCTGTCTGACCACATTTAGGCCACGTCTACCTTTCTATAACAATCGAAACGAATTTGAGTTAAATTTGAGTCAAACTTGACGACCGAATACGCCCAGAACACTGCCGACCTACTCCCAACCACCAGCCAACTAAGGCCAAACCTCCCGTCCACAGTCGTATGTTTGACACATTTCGAAACATTTGGCTGGCGCAGCCGAACAGTACCCGACTTTGCCGAACACCAGCTAATAACAGTCACGTAGAATGCCTTTGTTTTCTTGTAGGTAATCCATGAAAATGAATTTTCAGACCGACCTGTGATAGTTTCAGCGGCAGAGGCCACGCTGGCCCTGTTGATGTGTACCGTAGCCTCCACATGGACGGGACTGGTGACGTTAAACATCGTGATGCTGATGACTTCCTCCACACCAGGTCTGAACACCAGGGGCGCCACGGCCATGTAACCAGCTCCGGGGCTGGGGAAGGGACGGAGGAGGGAAGAAGTGAATGAATGAATGAACGAACGAACGAACGAACGAACGAACGAACGAATGAATGAATGAATGAATGAATGAATGAATGAATGAATGAATAATAATAATTCGCAGGTTCGGTACTGCACTGGTCTAATCAATATTTCATGTCGGCTCGCTCCTAGTCTCGCTGTCTAGCAGTCTTGCTGACGGTATGAAGAGAGGCTATCCCTGAACTGGGGTTACTATTTTGTTTTGTATCCCTTCTTTGTTTAATAATCTTGAAATGACAGGTTTCTGTAATGCGCGAGCGTGTGGGTCTGAGTAGTGAGAGAGTCTACCTCTCTTTCTCTCTCTTTATGTGTGTGATTGTGTCTGCGCGTATATGAGAGAGAGAGAGAGAGAGAGGAAAGAAGAGAGGATAGAGGGAAAGAAAGTCAGAATAAGGTGGCTAAAATATCGTGCGTTGCTTGTACGTAAGCCGCTTTGGGTCCTAACAGAAGACCGTCTATCTGACAGAGTTGAAGTATGTGCGGAGGAATGCCACCAGGAGACCGTGACTTCCTGGCTTGTCGCACACGCGGTTCACGGTCAAGGTCAAACAATGAAGGACGAGGCTGTCGGGTGCACGCCACTGTCAAGGCTCGGGCTTTGTTAGTGTTTCAGAATGCCAAATATTTTCATTCAAAAAATGTGTAATTCTCGACAATGTAGTTTCATTGGATTTAGTAAAATATGTTAAAGGAAAGACTTCAGCGAATTCATTTGTGGCCTATTGGGACGAAAATGTTTGCAACGATAGAAATAGACACGCCATTGCGTTTGTTGTTAACGTTATAGACCTTCCAAACTAAAACAACATCTTACATTGGAACGGGAAACGCGGCTATGTAGATGTAAATATATAGAGAGCGGACTATTTCTCTATCTATTTAAACCGACACAATTTCGCACTGCAGTCAACCTTCATGATTCCCTAAATACAAACACACGGTAATACCAGAGGTATAAAAACGCGATGATTCGGATCGTTAAAATACTATAACAGACTCTCTTTGTCACTGGTTAAGCGAAATAGATATAATACATTCCCCATATATTGATAGAACGTAATGGAAAAATAATCAAGCAGCTGGATATATTCTCTAACGAGTCAGACGTTTCAGTTAGCATCCACAATTTGTCTTAAGTGACAGTGAATAACGAAACATTCATCGATGTAGTGAAATAGTTTTTATAAATGTGTACTCTAAAAGAATGATAATTCGGTGGCCACCACTGTCAAAAACACCTATTGTGCGGTCCTCTATAAATTTTAACACGTGCAGTCTTTTCCGCTGCTTTTGTTGTTGTTATTGGCGACTGAATTCCAGTCACAACGTGGTATCAAAGTAGCTCGTGTTTACGACAATTTTCTTTCACGCGGCTCAAAAAAACGTCTTTGTCAGCAGCAGCGTTTAAACCTGACCCCTGGCCTCAGATTCCAAAGATCCGCACACCGCATAAAAAGTCAGAACAGGCCGGGGTTTTTACAGGGCTGGTTTTGTGTGGCTACAGGATTATCGGAGCTTTGGGGGACAAACACCGTGGAAGCGAAGATTACACAACAGTTCTTAGAGAAACATGTTTTCCTACGTGTTCTCTTCGCACACGACAAAAACAGGACTTGTTTAAGACCCCTTCCAGACATGGTCATTTATTAATCAGGTGGGTTAACACCTTCGACTGTTTGCTGACAGGCAAAAAAATACTTCGTTTGAGTCTTGAAGGAAAATGAGTTTATCTATAGCTCTAGGAGTTACATCATTCGAACGATTGTTATTTTTAAGTCTTCTCGGTCCAAATGTCAGAGTCGGTTCGCACAGTGCAAGTGTCAAATGTTCAACCTGATGTTTGCTGAATGCTGATTACGCTCTGTTATCCTCCAGTCAGATTAGCTACATAGCAAACAAATCTGTCCCTTCCCCCACCGGCTTTCCCCCCAAGGCTCTCTCTTTTCTGCACATTCTTAAAAAGCTCGTTAAAGCCCCCAAACTAGCAATTGCTGAGGGGAAGCTGGTAAATAAGGACCAAATGCTCCCACCTGCTGGCCGCGGCCGGGCCCAGGAGGGCGGCGAAGAGGAGCCATGGCAGCGCCGGAGACAAGGTCGGTTCGTACCGCGGAGACATGCCTGTAGCCAGCCTACACGCCTGCTTCTCTCTCCAGAAATCCCGGCTTTTCTCAAATCTCCAGGAGAACTCCAAGGACAGGAAATGACGTCAACGTTACGTCACGGATTTTGGAGATTGTTGAGACAGGCTTGGCTAAGCGGTAAGTCCGCCCGTGCGAAGGAAGACAGAAGACTCCCGAACCTACTGGATCATAAGGTGCTCTCAAGTTGGACTCTCCTCTTTGAACGGTGGAGCCGTCCACATTTTTATAGGACCTTCAACCACTGACACCCGCGTTTTCTTAACTTTATTACAAGTTAGAAATTGCAAACCCGGCAAACTAGCATCGAAGGTTCTGTAGGGTGAGATTTAGAAACAAATAGTTTTACCAAAAAATGCAAGACCGTACCCCCTTAGGAAAGTGAATGGACTGGTCCATGCGGTTCCCTCTGATCAGCTTTATATGTGATTCATTACTGAGAGTTAAGTGCCTTCCCAGAGTGCCCTGCGGGCGGGGGAGGTACTACACACGAGCGGCACACGTGTGGGACTGTGGGTAGCGGTCCGGGGGACCTTGACCTCAAACTACGGGAGGTTTTAGGCCACAGCAAGTAACTTTTATGGATCACATCCTCAGTAGACTCCAAATCTCCAATAAGAAACAAGCAGTATTTGGACTACAATGTATTTAATTTCTTTCGATACTCCTTAAATCTTACATGGTTTAACATTAAAACTACATATTATACAAAATAAAAGCGTACAGATATACAGATGACAAGGCCCAAATAAACGAAACATACATACTAGTAATTAAATGAAACTATAAGGATTATATGTACAATGCAGTAATAGTATTAACAAATTAATTATGGACTTGACTTGTGAACAGGCAATGAATGAATGAATGAATGAATGAATCTTTACTTACGTGTCTTGTGCTTTATGTGTAATGCCCATGTGGGCTTATAAGACACCAGAAGAAAAATCTGGTACATAAATCGGAAGAACAAAGGTACAGACTGGCATAATCAATTTGCAACCAAAACTGTTTTTGCAAGGATGTGTTTTACTTACTTGTACAGCAACATTCTTCTTCGTTTCTTGGTACACCTGGATAGTATAAACACACCTTGTTAGAGTAAATGCGCCTTGTTAGTGTAAGAACACGTTTTTAGTCTAACCATGTGTGGAATTTCTGAACCCTCTCCGGTCAGGAAGTTAGGCTTTGCAGCAAAGAATTTCAAAATGTCAACAAAACAAACAGTGAGAACGATGATTCAATGATTGTTTTCAACTTGCCTGCTTTTCCATAGCCAATAACTGTATTTACAAGCGAAATGAAAGTTCAAAATTTCGAATAAATAAAACATGACTACATTTTTCAACTGCTCTTCTCTACTTTCAATGCAAAATTCTTTTCAAAAGAATTAAGTCAGCAAAAAACTCAACATAATGTTAACTATTTGTCAAAACACTCTTAGGAAAAAGAATACTAGTAGCCATTACTTATAGATATGTGTTATTATCATTTAGTTTCATCTCGTCTACTTATGAGATAGCCTGAGAGCCACCGGGCTCCCAGCCGGCACCCAGGGAGGTCAGAGGAAAGTTCTGCCTCCAACTTCTCAATGCGGTTTGCAGCAAAAGCGAAAGGAGGCGCTCTGTTCTGGACCAAACACCAGATTGTTAAAATGATGTTATAACTTGGTAGCTGGCAAGTTACTATTTTTAAATAGTAACTTGCCAGCTACCAAGTTATAACATCATTTTAACAATATACTGAATGTTGTGAGTACGTCAGCTAACATTTTAAATTTGCCTAAGTGCAGTTCTACTTTGACAAGTCAATGTACGCAACAACATGGAAAATTGTACAGGTGTAACCTTCTTTCATACAAAGCCTATTTGGTGCTTTAAGTAGTTGAACCTTTATAACTCATGATTACCACTTTATCAAATCAAACACATTACAGTGACCAATCATTTGAATACCAATTCAAGTACATGTAGTCCAAAAGTGATAAAAGCCGAAAGGCGGTTATACAGGCTCTACTGTGAGATACAGATACAACACTAAAATGCATTTTCCAATCACTTTATACAAGGTTATGATTATACAGCTGTAAGGATTGATGAAAAAAAAAAGATTTATGAAGTCAGTTTGTTCTTAATGAGGGATGGATATAGAGGGTTGTTTCTGACTGTACTAGTGACCAGTGCTTGTACTCTCTATCTGTGTCGTGCTCGGTTATTTTGGCACGTTGTTTCGGTGAAGTATCAGCTTAAGGGTCACCAATTCCATCCAAAGGTGTGATGGAGTACGGTTCCATGTCATCTTCGTCTTTGGCCTCCAGGTTTCCACGCGATGGACCCAAGTCGTCGTTCATGTCTTCGTTGCTGCTGATGTCGTCCAAATCCACACTGCTGTACGGTTCGATGCGCAGGTCGTTGTTGATGGCATCAAGAGGTACCGTGAGGTAAGGTGTCAGCTCCGAGTTCTCCTCAGGTCCTTCTGTCGTTTCTCTGCCCTGATTGGCGCAGCTGGCAGATGATGCAGACGATGTGTACATCCGATTGGAGATCATTTGAGATGTGTCGATGGTGAATCCGTGTAGTTTATGGACGGGATTCTGTCTTGCTGAATCCTCCTCAGTTTCTTTCGTCTCTTCCTTGTCCCTGTCGTCACCAGTGGCAGATCCGGAGGGTTGGTACATCCGGTTGCGGATGAGTTGAGAACTGATGATGGCACCTTGCTGTCCGTGGACTGGATTTTGTCTTCCCTTTGACACACGTCGCTTGTATATCATACCCAAACCTGTAGCCCCACCTAGCAGAACTATCACGCCGACGGTAAGTGCGATAGGCATGTAGATATAGTCCGTACGAGATTGCTGTCCGTCATCAAGATTCTTCTCCAATGCGATGCCGCGGGTACTGTCCATGGTACCAGATGTTGTTGTTCTCGCTTGCTCCGTCGTACCAGTGTGATTTTCCCGGGTCTTGGTTGCTTCTGTCATTGCGGTTGGTGGGAATGTGGCTGTCGGCTCTGTGGATGAGCAGAAGAAGCTGGTACCGAAGCCGACCAGGTCAGACCGAGACGAGCACTGGTAGTGCCCGGCCTGGACGAGCACGCCAAGGGACAAGTACTCGGGGTCACAGACCAGCCACCGCATCCTACCGTCACAGACAAACGGGTTGCCTTTAAGATAAATGCTGAGCCGAGTGTCAACGATTTTCTTGAAATTCCTTTCCAGTATCGTGAAAATCTGGTTGTTCTCGAGATAAACATTCAACCAGGCAGCTGTTGTGTTGTGACGGACCAGAGAGAGGGTCTCAACAGGAATCTTCTTCAGTTGATTTTCTTTCAAAGACATCAGATTTAAGTTGTTGAGGCCGACGAAAGCTCTTGGAGACACGGTTTCGATGAGGTTATGATCTAGATAGATTGTCTTCAAACTGGGTAGGTTTTGGAAGGTGTCTTCACCGATATGCTGGAGGCGGCTACACCGGATGGTGATCCATTGTATCGCCGGTACGGAGGAGAACGCACCCGCTTCTGCAAGAGAAATTTATTAGCAATTAGGTAACGCAAAATAAGAGCTCGCTGTTTTATTGTCTCGCTAGAATGTAGGCTGGGTGCCATCCGATTTGTAACGAGGCTTCTTAATCTTGCGCTCGCTGGCCTGAAACATCCAGCCACTCACTCAGATTTACATTGGAGATACCAAGCGCCTCTAGCTCCGATTGACTGTTTCTAACAGTCAATTAGATATAGAAGTCCAAATACTACGTAAGTGTTAATGGGCCTAAATTCTCCTCCTAGCTCTGATTGGCGGATGTTTTTCCGCCAATGAGATATAGGAGGTTACCACGTAATCTTATCTATCAAATAACTTTGTTAGCATTAACATTTTAATGTCTTGGGGTGGTGGGACTGCGTCGCACTGATATGTCAACTTTGTGTATTTAAATGTTAATTGTACTTTTTTGTTGTGTGGCGCTGTTAATATAAGTTGTAAACTTGAGTGCAGCGTCACACTGTCCTTGATGTGTTTTCATGTTTTGATGAATAAAAAAAATCCAGCCAGCGATTGCAAAGATATCATTAGCCCCTTTACAAATCGGATGGCACTCAGACTAGCTAGAATCGACCTTTTGAAGACTCTGTAACTCCTTTTACCGAAGTTAGGCTTACAGCTTTTGTTCTTGTGTATTTGTTTGCGTAGCCGTAGTCATTTCCACATGTTAGGCACGTCATGGATACTGTCACAAAGTTAAGCCAAAGGTCCCAGAAAAGGTTATCCCATCTCCTGTCTCCCATTTCTTGCCTTATGCATGTCTGTTGGCCTTATGAGGGTCATTATTGGGAAATGGCAACCTTTGCAGGTTGAAATGCACAGCTAATATATATTATAAGCCCCACACTGACCTATTGCCTGGATGGTGCTGCCGCTTATAACGAATCTGTTGAGGCTGCGTAACGGCGGAATGTCGTGTTTAGTGAGGGTGGTGAGGTTGAGCAGATTGTTCAGGAGGATTCCAATGACGGACTGGTTAAACCCGGTAGGAACGCCATTTAGACACGTCAGGCCATGATTTTCTGCACTACAAACACTGTCAGCGGCAACCTGGTGAAAAACAACAATGGTGTAATTCGTTAAGTAAGGGGTGTTGCACTTTGGAAAAACTGGTTGCACTTAATTTCCCAAATTGGTTGCACTTTCGAAAATGGTTGCGCTTGGAAAAATTGGTTGCACTTTGGGAAAATTAGACGTGCTATCACATGCATCACGCTTTGTTTCGTCCGAGACTTTTGACAGACCAGACTTTTGACAAACTTTTGACAAACACGGCAATTTTGTTCCGTCACAGCTTTTTGAAAAGAAATCCTCATTTTGCGCTCGTTAACATGTCATCACTTTAAAGTTTAAAACTAGAAGGTAACATTTGTAAAGCAAATGTCACATATGATCTGCTCTGTTAATTCTTACTCAAACACATTCACATATATGGTCACAGGAGTCTAAATCCCTCCTGCTATAAAATTGCAACATGACGTAACCCAACACCAGTTACCATGGTGACAGACGTCTGGTTCAGGTCATTGGGAGAAGAAGAAGTTTTGTTTGGAGAAGAAGAGGAAACAGAGCAGAAACAATATATTTTCCTATGGTAAACATTTTCAAAATAACCCGTTACAGCCTATCGTGCAATAATATATTTGATTTCCAAGCTTGCTGGGGAGGGAATTAAAATGGGAACTTAAAACATGTAGGTATAGTTATAGATATATAGACATATAGGTATAGAATGTCGACAGGAAAAAAAATAGTATTGTGTCCCTACCGTTAAGCCGTTGCGACGTTGAAAGCAAGACTTAGACGACTGGGGACACTGGCAGTTAGGTGACGTCGACCCACGAAGATTCTTTCGGAAACACTCCTCAGGACAAGGCAAGGAAAATTTCAGAACCAGCAAAACTAGGACAGCGACACAAAACCTGCCCATTCTCGATACGATGGCGAGACGACTGTACAACACGTACACACAGGTGTGACAGGCTGAATACAAGTTCTAAACGGGAACTATGCGGCTCCAGATGTCTTACTGAGGGACGACTGCGTGTGCGAGCTGTCGGTTAGCTTGAGGAATGAATCCCCTCTACGCACACACAGGCTCACCAAATACACAGCTCAGAAAAACATGTCTTTACAGGGATTAATATAGTCCGATTGGTACGTCTGTGATTTATAGTTCTTACTCTGACTCTTGATTATTTTCACAGATCAAAGACCAGCTTGAATGAAGAAACACTATTTGGGATTGGACAGTGTAAAAATATTCACATCACAGTGTAGATATACTCCCATCTTAAAACACTTTATAGAATAACATCTACGTTGTAGGCGTCAGCAGTGGTTTTGGGGAATTTGTATATTTTGGGAGACTTGTAATGTTTTGTGGTGTGGTCAGATTATATTTATGACAAAAAAATGTGGATAAATACTGTTTTTTTCCGTTTCATAAATCTGCACGACCTAAATACATAATTTCATAAAAGCCTACTGATATACAGGATATATATTTTTCTTTGATGGTCCGCCATTTTTTCTGTGTATGAAGGGATTGTTTAGGGTAAGTGTATGGCTCTCCCCAAACACGGGACATCCTATCCGAGGAACGTCCCTAACCGAAGCTAGGTACTCGTTTACACCTGAGTGAAGTGAGGAAATTCGTGTTAAGTGCCTTTCCCAAGGGCACAAGATCGGTGGCATCAGGCAGGATTCGAACCCGGGACCTTTTGGGTTTGAGCCGAACATGCTAACATTTACGCCACACGCCCGCACAGAGATCAGGTCATGGCCATATTTTAACCGCAGTTAAACTGTCTGGTAGCTTCCTTTGCTTATAAAATGTATTTTAGGCACCATCTGATGTTTACAAATGTACGTGGGGAGGTCAGACTGGATCTAGACACGAAATTGAATTGGTCGGATTACAAGGGTTACGTATTTCTGTCTTTTATGATCCCACCAAGGACTAAATCTTCTTGATCCCACGCGACCTAAATACATAATTTCATGAAAAATATCCTTGTGGCAAAACTACAAAAGATCAGACTGCAACAAGATATTGTCAATGTTTCAGTTTTATTGAAGTCACAAACAGCTATATACAAGGACTAACTTCCAAAGTTGACATTCATATCATAACAGATTTCATGACTGAAATCTCACCCGGTATTGCATACCAAGTGGATATAGGGTAGCACGTCAGCAGAACGTACTGCACCTGCACAAAAGCCCCATTTTTCATCGTTTTTGTTGGATATTTGGTTAATGCTGCATCAAAATTTTGCCTGATGCAGACAATATTTTTTCCGACACAACATTTGGAAACTACAGACAGAGTGTTAACTTTATATGCACGATTATGACCTTATATGAGATGTTCTGCCAAAGTGCTATGCACAATGCATTACGGGTTTCGCGCAGGTGCAGTACATTCTGCCAATGTGCTATATACATGTAGCATGAATTACCAAATATTTGTTGATATCAACCACATTTGTGGAGGGATTGACCTAGTAGCTGACTACAGACATGACTAAGGATATTGCAACTCGAATCCAATCGGAATTCTTTTGACTTGCTTATGTGTCAGACAAATGCAAAAGGACCTGTCAAAAGCTGCTGGACTATTCTATATGAAGACAATTGGAAGAGCTCAAAAACAGGTTGGAATCCATGCTACTGTACTCTCCAAGCAGAGGTTTGGGGTTATTTTTGGCTTGTTTTTAGGCTTTTTTATCAGGGTTTCTCTTTTGCACTGGAATTTTTTTCTCACCCAACCCCAACAATTCCAGTGCAAAAGAGAAACCCCGATAAAAAAGCCAAAGTTCAAAAACACGCCAAAAATAACCCCATACCTAAACCTCTGCTTGGAGAGTAATGCTACTGATATATTTGCAGTGATGAACAAATCTATCAAGGCTACAGTAATTTTTCATGGAGATGATACCATCATGCTATTTGAGTCATCTGAAGATAGCAGCACATTCCCTAGCCACACATTCAGTGAAGAGCTGGCTGTTGGATTTTACCCATAGTTCCACAGTGCTCGTGTTGACCTTCGTGGTGACCTTGACATGGAGCAGACACAGGCCCTGCTGCAGGAGAGTTCCGCTGGCTATGCCCTCATTACCTAAACAAACAAACAAATAAGCAAATAAACAAACAAACATGGATACAGCTTCTATCCAAATACATGGCAATTTCATCTCTTTCATCATACATATTTTTAACATACAATTTCTTTTCACAAGAAGGGAAAAGGGATTATCTTTTTTTCCTTTCTTTTTTTTTTATTAGACATTGGCAGTCTCTAGTGATAGTACAGTTTAACAGAGTAAAACTTGCATGAGGACACTATTTTTGGAAAACCGATTGTACAGTGTTTCATCACTCAGGTGTCAGATCATGGAGCTAGAAAAGGTTGATCAGCTCTTGCAGGGTTCCACCCAAAAAAAAGCCTAGGGATAGATCAAAATAATCTTACCTATGATATCTACAGCATGGATTCCAAGTCTGCCCTTGAACATGTCCATGACTACTGCTACTTTGGTGACTTTGTTGGTCTCCAGTTTGAGGCGCTTGTCATGTGATGTGAGCGGCCATTTCTCCCCGTACTGTTCCGTGGTTAGTTCTAATGGTCTGTAGGTAGGGCAAAAACATTATAGCAACTGTTAGTGTGCAAGTTTGTTTGAACATTCACAATACTGTGGATCACTCATATACAAAATTGGAATTTACCGACAATCTTTTTCCTTTTCCTACATTTTTCCTTAAAACTAGACTGCTTGTATCAAATCAAGAAGCTCAAATACAGTATTTTTCTTCTTTTTTCCAAAATGTGTTAATCCAAATGCGTATTACAGAGGAAAAACTGACAGGTGTATAGGACAGGTGAAATTTTACCTGAAAACATCTGACATGTGCATTATTTATTGGACAGGTGAAATTTTACCTGATGTGTGACAGGTGTATAATATATACAATGTATATACATGACAGGTGAAATTTTACCTGACAACATCCGACAGGTGCACGGCACAGGTGAAGAAGAGGCGCCTGTTGGTGAGGGTGTGGTCCTTGTACGACAGTTCCCCGCCCAGGTGCATACTCAGGGCAGGTGCTTTACAGGTGAGGTGAGCTGAATGTACCGAGCACGAACATGGTGCTATCTTCTCCTCCACAATACAGCTAGTTTCAGCTCCCCCTATGGAACACTGAGTACGGGAAAAAATAAAAATCTATGAGTATTGATACGTAAAGCATTTCCAGTTCATGATACCAACACACAAAACATAACCAAATTTTCATCTCTAAATCTAAAAGTAAATGAGTACATGTAAATCTACTTATTGTGAATTTATGCAGATTGGTCCTTCCTACTCATCAAGTAAAATATACTGTAGAATTAATTTAATTCAAGTTTGCAGGACTTAAAATTCCTGTTACATGCTTTTAAACGTTGCTGATTTAAAAAATGTCAATACTACATGTATCAAGAGTTTGTAGTATCTTTGAATTTTTAGTTGAAACAATTTATTAGTAACAAAAAGGGAGGCAAAAATATGAGGTTGCAGTGAGAGAAAACTGAACTTAAAAACACCATCATAAAAATAACAAATTTACACCTGAAAATTTGACGATGGCTCCAACTTCACACAGACGTCAGTGACAGCTCTGTTGCCACTGTGGTTGGTCAGGAAAATCACGACAACAAACTCCTCTGGTTTCCACACTTTACACAGCGTCAGGCGAACCACTTCATCGCTACACAATTCCACATGTTCCACAGAATGTGGGAATTTCATCAGGTCTTCCGGTAACGTTGTAGGAATCTCTTTTCCATTGTCGAATCTCATCCCGTCTGTATCATTGTCTCTATCAAGTATTGAGTCTGTTGATGTGGAAGTGGGTACAACCTGTGGTCTGTCTAACCCTGCAACTAAGTCTTCTGTCTGGATTTGTAAACTGTCAGGTTGTTGCAATCTTTCTGAGTCTTCAGTCCTTTGTTTAGTTCTACTGTTTGAAAGCACTTCACTAGTAGTATTGTTTTCCTGTAAACTTAATGTATTTTCTGGCATATTCGATTGTCTAGAGTCTGTAACATCTTTAGAGTCTTTTTCTACGGTTTTCAAAGTTAAATCTTCCAAGTTGATTTCTGCATGGCTTGTTTTCTCAATTTTGTCTGCAGTGGAAGACGATTTTAAGACTTCAGTGCCAATAGGATCTAGTTGTAGGACATCTTGTAGGTCTAAGATACTATCTTGTGTCTCGGTGCTGGTGAAAAAGTCTGTTCTGTCAGCTGTAGGGTTGAGGGTGTCTTGAGGAGAGAGTTCTAAGGTGTCGATTCCTTCCAGAAGGTTCCCGACGGCCGGCCCTCGAGTCTTGCCTCTTCTAGACGTCTTAAGAATTCCTCGTCCTCTGGACGTCTGAATGAAACATTTTAAGAAAAGAGAGCAGGTTTAAAGTAAAGTACAATGTATGACTGTGAACATCATTACCAATGCTTGGTGTTTTACAACCTATAGACGCTTGGTGGCTTGTATCCAGTTGGTTTGAAGGTAACTATAGTTTTCTACACTTAAGTTTGTTTCTCTACCAATATGTTGAAATGAAAACATGTTGAAATGAAAATTCATCTCTTTGAATTAATTTTCTTTACATCCAAAAATAGACAGTAACTATTTGAAAAGATTTAATTGTGGTAATGAGTTTAATATAATTCACTATTTGCCATTCACCTGTGCTGTTCCCCCCTGCTGCAGTCCACTGAACAGCGCGCTGGCCAGCTGCTGTTTCCTCCTGTCCTCCTGAAGGTCAGGCAGGTCATCGCCGTGCTGTCCTGGAGAGGCCACTACTGGACTGGGCTGGAGACAAACATCAACGTTTTCTGATTTTTTAGTTTTGCATAAGCTTATTAAATTACCTTCCCAGCCTGAAAAAAAAATGCATTTCTATTAACACCTCCCAATTCACACATCTCGCAAACATTCATACATGTTGGCCACTTCATACTCCACTGCACACAGAAAAGAAATCAAACCCAACAGTAACATTATCTAAAGTAGTATTAGCATTACTTAATATTATCATTTTTACTGTTTATTATTTTATTATGTTCTTGCAATTAGCCCTCAGGCTTGCATTAACAATTATAAACTTTCAATTAATATTTCCCAACACAATTATGACAAAGCCAACTGCAAAAAAACTATGGAATAATAATATGCTACCTCCACTTGAGCACTGCCTGAATAGCTTGACTTGTCCGGCTCATCCAGTACTACTTCAGTGGCCTCCTCTTGTCTCTCTTGCGTAACCTCAAGGTCAACAGTAGGAGCGGCCATTTTCCTGACCTTGGTGCAGCCATCTTTGCTCCAGATCTTCCGAACTCCCCGTGTCCTGAGGCCCAGACTGTAACAGTCATATTACAAAACAAAAGTATGTGAATACAAAAAACCAACTTTTTTCATTAATTAGTGCAAAATATATACACCTACATGGTAGTGCAATCTTCATGTTCTTTCTTAAATAAGCATCAAGGGTGGCCAGCCTTGTCAGATTTAGCATCATAATTTAATGTAATTGTTATTGGAATCCCTTGTACTGGCCATACAAGACAGTATTATATTGTGCAATTCTGACTGGTTCACATTGCATTGCAGCATCTATAGCAGCAACACCTGTGCTGCAGTGCAATGTGAACCAGTCAGAATTGCCCTGAGGAAGGTGACAGACAGTCACCGAAATATCGGCTGAATAAACGACACGGATGTGTAAAAAGAGTCTCTTTACTCAAGTATACTAAACTTGTACATTGTATTTACAAAGAAGGATTTTCTATACCTACCCATCAAGTTTCTCCGAACTTTCCCCCGACCCCCCTGAGCTGAGGGACCCTAAAGGCTCCGATACCCCCTTACTCTGAGAGGAGGGGGGTGTGGAGGATGCTGTGAGGGAGGGGGGGACCAGGGGGGTGTCGTATGGCTTGAAGTTGAGCCCGGAGAACAAGGCGGCTTGGGCTGGGTGAAATAAAAATACCTGAGTGAATCTTCAAATAAAAGTACATCTGTGACATTACTTGACATTATGAAAAAATTATACACTATTAAAATTTTTTATACATTATGAAAAAGCTATACACTTGTAGGAAAAAATTTATACAGCTTGAAGGTAAGCAATTACTTTGTAAATGTAAATAGTGCATGAAATATTTATAACCAGGTAGAGAGTGAATGGTACTGTTGAGTATATTGGGGTTAACTATAAAATGTAAATTTGTAAAACAAGTCATATGACAATGGCTGAATTACATGTTTATGAAAAGGTGCAGCATGTACATTTGTGGTACTGATGAATGATTCCTGACCATGAAATGATAACATTTCCTTCTATCCCCATCATTTCATCCTACTGTGTTTAACACTTTCCCATCTAACTTCATATAATTTCTAGACACCAATATAATCTTTGCATTCTATCTCTAAGAAGTACATGTATATAGAGACAAAATTATAAGTAACTTGGTTGTAAACTGTATATAGGATCAAGACAATTTGCCATAAAATAATTTTAACAAGCTCACAAGTCACAACAGTGAAATACTTGTTATAGCACATTAATTAAAGAACTCATGCAAGGAAGTTACAGAACTTCAAAAACAATTGATAATTCATTGAAAATCAAATAATAATTCTTTAAATTCCAACACCATGAACCACACACCTTTGTCCTCCATAGCCATAGTTTCTGACTGTCTCTGTAGCCTGGGTTTGTAGGGTGCTGCACCCCGACCCAACGCTTCTGACACAAACTCATCCAGGAATGACAGGGACGGGTCAATCTGGCAAATAGAAAACAGGAATCATATCTTATCTTCTTGCCTCTCTCTGCTTACTTACTAACACATTTAACACAAAGTCTTTTTTTCTGGCTGATGTTTAAAATATACTGTAATTAAAATAAAAACTATAAATAACTATGGAAGTCTTATCTTAGCCCTCTCTGCTTTCTAGGCAGGCTCTTCTACATGCAGGTCAATGTTTTTGAAACAAAGTTGTATATTTTTTGGGTAAAACAGTAAAATTAGGAAAGAGAAATGACATAGGAGTATTTTTGTATACCTCTGCTTTCTATTCTAGGCCAACGCTGTTGATATTAAGTTGCAAAAACTTGACAGAGAGTTTATTCTTAAAGATAATAACTTTACAATTTATAGTAATGCCAATGTTTGTCTCTGCACTTTTTTGAACATTTTCAATTTAGAACTTAACTGTAGCAATACCAATGTCTGTCTCTGCAATTTTTGTAAAATTTTCAATTTGATCACAGTAAGACACCAAAACATAGCCTGGGTACCATCCTGGTTAGTTTATGTCTGCTCCCACAGTCGCTACTGTTGGTCGATAGTGACTGTGTGAGTGGACGTAAACTAACCAGGATGGTACCTAGGCTAACCAAAAAAGGGTGTCGCCAAATAATAGCAGTTGTTTTTACCTGTAGGTCCTCACAGCTGGCGTCTAGCGGCAGGACAGTCTGCATGATCGGGACGTCTGTCTGGAGTTCTAACAGTTCTGCTGCTCTCTGTCTGATATCCACATCCATACAGCTCAGGTACTGTTCACACACTAACACAACCTGGGGAATAATAATAATAAATGGTTTATTGGTCAAACATTACCCATGCAATTGCAGCCTTTTATAGCCCTGAATTGATGCAGGGTTTACAATCACATAATACACATGATACATATAACATTTTTGCTCCACACACTTTTGTGGAACTGTTGCAAGAGTCTGTGCGGCTGCCATTCGGTGCCACCAGGTGACCTCAATATGACTTTCCCCAACCAAAATTACATGTAGGTACCCATTCACACCTGGGTGGAGTGAGGAAAGTCGTGTAAAGTGCCTTTATGTGATGTGGTATCATAATATTGTACAGTTTGTTAATCGTCCTTTGTACACCCAGCATTGCATAAAAAAACAGGTTGTTATGTACCTGAGTGTTACTGCTGGTGAAATAAACAAACTGAAAAAACAAACTGAAACAAACAAACCCACCTCCTCTGTGACCCTGCCCATCTGTGCACAGAGTTTAGTGATGGCTGTGAAGACCGTCCCCATGGTTTCTACGGAGCGGTACTCCCGCTCCAACAGGGGCAGGAGTCTCCGCAGGACTGCCTCTGGTTCTACATCAGGCAGCAGGTAGGAATATTCACCCAGCGTCTGGGATGGAAAGGAAAGGGTAGAACAAGTTAAGAATCATACCATGTACTAGAGAATAATCTTGAATAGTGACATTATATCAGTATCTGTATTGGCATAGTTGGTATAACCACCCTTCGGCGTAACACGCCAGCTAACTATATCACACTGAATGACCTGTTACACCCAATCTTTACACATTTTATTGTAGGAGTTGTAGTGATGATGCCTCAACAGTGCTTGATGGCAACAAGTTCCACTCTACAATAGAACAACTCAATTCTTGGTTGATAACTCTGATATTTGAAGGCATGACTGTTTCTTGTTCTTTTCTGGGCTGGTATCAGATACTTGATAGCTGGTATGTTGTCCACCAGTTTATTATTCGTTTTATACATCATGCATAGTCTGGACAGGAATTGAGAACAATACACAACCGCAAGAAAGCATTGTCACTGACCCAGCAAGACACTTGCACCAAAATATCAGGAAGGTGAGGTCGTTCTACAAGGCCGAGGTAAGACTGAACTGCATGTAGCCTCAGTTCTGCATCCTCAGATTCAGAGTCTGTTCCCTCGGCTAAAAGTAGCAGCAGATTCTGGGCCACGTCATTCGGGACCAGGTCAGAACCCAGCTCAAACACCTGGTTCATGGTAGTGATGAACCATTCGTTACTGGGGGCAAATGTGGGATTGTTAAGGAGGAAACTCAACTCATATCACTATTCATCTTACTTTACATTAAAACAAACTACAGTGTATAACATTCAAAAGGGTCAGTGCAGCTGCCATTCTGTGCCACCAGGTGACCTCAATACGACTTTCCCAAACCGAAGTTAGGTACCCATTCACACTTGGGTGGAGTGAGGAAAGTTGTGTAAACTGCTTTTCCCAAGAGCACAACATCAGAGCACATGTCCAGACATGTCCCAGGTACAACACTGGATCGAACCCGGGTCTCGCTGTTTCATAGTCGAACGCTCTAGCACTACGCCACCCGACGCCACATTATTGTAAATTTGGACTGTCTATCTTATCAATTCTACTTGCATGTTTACCTACCAATTCTATTTTCTTACAATGTTGACCCTTAATAATAGTCAACATTCAACTAGTTGGGCAACCCTGGCTGTTGCATGCCAAACTAATAAATAAACATTTTTTTTCCTAGGCCTTATTGACGGTAAGGATATCTCTCTGCCAGTTGAGTGATCTTGGTGACCAGGTCTGACTTGAGGTAAGTGTCTGTGGTGGTGCTGAGATGGGAGATGAGCCGGTCACAGATCACTGTCACGTTGGGCGGACCTGTCATCCTGTACAGCAGCTCTAAGGTCTGCGGTGGGGAGGGGGGCACAACAAGAAACAATTGTAAATGTCATTATGAAAAACATTGGGTCAAGATCTTTAATTCCAAACTGTATCTCTTTGCAAGAGGAGTGAAAGAGTCACTACATGTGGGGTGACACAGGTTATCTGGCACATATGTTCTTGCGTCTTGTACCAGAAGTAGACAGGTTCATTCCAAGAACATTAGAAAAGTTCAAGGAGTCAAAAGTAAATTTGGGTAACTCCAAATTTAGTATAAGTGTTGGAACATAAAGTTATCATATTGGAAAGACATGGACTTTGTACATTGCATGAAAGGGTATAATTTTTGCATTAATTCAATGTTTTTTCATCTTTTAAACGTGAAACTTTACGGTACCTTCCTCTGCAGGGTTTCATCCGGATCATCCAGACACTCGATCACCACCATCTGGTGTTCAGCAGCCACACCCGGTAATACAGGCAGCATGGAGGTTAGAGCTGTGATACCTACATGGGAGTATAACACCTGTCAGTACTGTAATATATACAGGTACATGTAATACAGGCAGCATGGAGGTCAGGGCTGTGATACCTACATGGGAGTATAACACCTGTCAGTACTGTAATATATACAGGTACATGTAATACAGGCAGCATGGAGGTTAGAGCTGTTATACCTACATGGGAGTATAACACCTGTCAGTACTGTAATATATACAGGTACATGTAATACAGGCAGCATGGAGGTTAGAGCTGTGATTCCTACATGGGAGTATATAATCGGCCATTACTGTTAGAGATACTATAATTACACTCTATTACTGCAAATAGTCTGGGGTTCTAAATCAGATACAGGTAAATATTGTCCCAAACGATGTGCCAAACTGTGGGGTTATGTGGGGTTAACGGTGGCGTGTTCGGCTCAGGACCAAGAGGTCCCAGGTTCGAATCCTACCCATGTCACCAATCTTTAGTCCTTGAGTAAGGCACTTTACACGACTTTCCTCACTTTCCAGTGTGAGTGATTCAAACCTCACAGTCCGGTCTTACACAGCTTGTACTTACATGTACAAAACTGGTGTGTTATGCCTAAAAAGGTGGTTTACCAGTTATGTGAAACAAACAAACTGACCGAGGTATCTGAGGTTGTTGTTCCTTGAGTGGAGGAAGCGACCAATCATGACATAACATTTAGAAACTACAGACAGAGTGTTAACCTTACATGCGTGAATACGACCTTATGTGAGATGTTCAACTGAAGTGCTAAGCATAATACATTACGGGTTTTGCACAGGTGCAGTACGTTCTGCCGACGTGCTGTGCCAGACTGACCGAGGTATCTGAGGTTGTTGTTCCTGGAGCGGAGGAAGCGGCCTATCCTCTGTGCAGCCTTCTCCAGCAGTGCAGGGTTGGGATGTACAGCGGTGACCGTACGCACACACTCATACAGCACAGCGTAGCCCATGTTGTGATTAATCTCAGACTTATCCAGGGTTTCATCCAGGACAGCGTAGATCTGTTCACTGTTCCTGTAGGGACGTATATAGCAACAAAATTAAAGTTAAAACCTGTACAGGGCACCACCTCTACAATTATGGCCTAAAAATGTTGTGCTTTCTGTTTCAGTCCTAAAAATATTAGGGTTGGTCGGTACAGGTTTTCCTTTGTTTTTTCTTTCTTTTATTAGACTTTGGTGATCTCTAGTGATCTAACTTATACAATACATGAGGAAACTTATATTTTCTAATGTCAATCAATGTTGGAAAACTGATTGTACAATGTTTCATCACTCAGGTGTCAGATCATGGGGCTAGAAAAGGTCGATCAGCTCGAAAAATTTATGTCCCTTTGCAGGCTAGGGTCAGCAGGGAAACAGGAAAAACAACATTTTTTCTAGGCCTAAGGACCACCTGGCCAATGTAACCACATTTTAGTGGTCCCTGAAAAATATGATTTCTATTGAGAGTCTTTTTGGGCAGTTCTGACTGTAGATTGAAGTCACTAAAGAGGACATACTAGAACAGATGGACCTCAGTAATACATTTATGTCTTAATTCCAAACAATTTAACACCAAATAGTTCTTACTTGTTGTGCCCAGCTCCCAACATTCCCATGATCCTCAGCAGCTGCACCTGGATCCATGGCGCGGGAACACTGTGATAAGTGAAGTCATTGGTCAGCTTTCCACCAATCACCTGCTTCATGATGCAGGCAAAGGTGTTGGTAAGATCCCTGTGCTTCTCTACATCCTCCTGGAGAATGGAAAAAAATATAACAGTTGCTGTAAAAACTATCTACTAATTAGCATGAAAGTTAATCTGTGTTGGTACAAGTCTTCATGAAATAACGACTCTTAACTTCCAATTCTAACTAAAAAGGTAAGTCCCAATTCTTTGTACATGTAGTTAGTGTTGGAAGTTAAAGCTTAGTTTTTATTTCATAACTATCTAGACTAGGTTTTCCTAATCATTTGGGTGAGGAAGAGTACCAGTATTTCTCACGATGATAGGCATGATAGCTTTGTGGTTAGAGTTGTTGATTCAAAATCTGAAGGTTCTGGAACTAGCAGATGACCCCTAATTGATTTCTTACATGTTGTGCAAAGTTACAAATAAACTAGAAAGGTAACTTTTAAATTTTAAGCAAATGCATAATGTTTACCTTCGCATATCTGTTAATTCTTCCTCAATCAGTCAAACACATTTATATATATGGTGCCAGGAGTCTAAATCCCTCCTGCTATAAAATTGCAACATGATGTAACCCAACACTTATAAGTTACCATGGTGACAGCTGTCTGGTTCAGGTCATTGACTTTATTTGCTAGGAGAAGAAGAAGACACAGATCAAAAACAATATATTTTCCTTCCGTAAAGGTAAACATATTAGTTAATACAGTAAACAACGCAAACACAGACTGTACCTTTATCAGGTCATAGAATATGTTGAGCGAGGCCCCCATGACCCCGGGGTCACGATCACACAGAACCTTGCGGAACTTCTCGTGGATGTGTTGGACCAGGTTTGGAGCCTTCAGGTAGAACCTGTGCAGAGCCATGATGGCTTTCTTACGCACAACCTCCCTGGACAAAACACAGCAATTCTGTTGTCAGTCTACAAAATCACAAATAGAGGTAAATAAAACTATGCCAAACTAATTGACAATATGACACTATTAAATGCAATATTCAAACTTTTAGTCTAGTGTATGGTGACCAGCCCCTCCGGCTCTGTCTTGCCACTTGCTACAATTATTACATACATTATATTATAATCCTACACCACAAGGTGGTCTCTGCTAGAGCACCTGGTGAGCCACTAAGGTGACAGCCATCTGGTCTAGGTCATTGACCTTATTTGTTTAGAAGGGAAGAAGAAGAAACAGAGCAAAAATATGTTTTCCTTCTGCCAAGGTGAACATAAAAACTTCTTTGTAAATCTACATTTGGATACATAATTGTACTAGATGATTTTCACATTTAGCATATTTTAGCTCATTGAAGTACTGTAAATTCACTCAAGTTCATGAGGACTATGCAAAATCTACACACAGTACAGTGATGCCCCCTAGCTCTTACTTTGGGTGCTGCAGCTTGTCTTCCACCATAGGCAGCAGTGCTGGGATCATCTCCGTGCTGATGAGAGCACAGACCGCTGTCAGGCCCATACACACATGCAGGATGTTGGTGCTCTTCAGATCCTATTGTGTATCATAGGAAAACATTTTAGATAGAGCACAAGAGAGCGTCATTTCAAAAACTAAAACAACGGTCAGAATGCTATTGTGTATTGGTGAAAAGTTTCATCAGGTTGGTAAGTCACTGAGTAAAGAGACTTTTTTACACAACAAGTGTTTTATTCACAGCCGACGTATATTTGTATACATGTATCTGTACATGTAGATATATGTAAATATTGTACGTTTAGGTAATGCATCTATAGCAGTGACACCTGTGCTGCTGTGCAATGTGAACCAGTCAGAACTGCCCTGAGGAAGGTGACAGACGGTCATTGAAACATCGACTATGAATAAACTTAATTTTACATATGCATGTACACACTCAGTGCTACATGTCAACTGTAATATATATAAAATCAAATTCAAAGATGAATTTTTTTTCAGTTATGACCTTCTGTATCGTGTTGATGAGCAGCATGATCAACTCATGGTCTTCATGGAGGAACAGCGACACTGCAAGGTACCCTGGGAACAAAAACACACATGTATGAATGATATATACACTAAAAAAATAGCCAATACAAAAACTACCAAAGTCCAGTTAATAAACTAGTTCTCAAACCTGACTACAAGTAACCACCTAAACATAACTTCATAAGGATCATTTTTTTTTCCAAACTTTTTTTTTTTTTTGCACGCTCGCATCAGTTTTGGGGTTCCCCTAGCCTGACTAAATCTGCGCTCCTAGCGGCCGGCCCAGTATTACACCAGCCGCGCAGGCTAGGGTTCCCAGAGGATGTCATCCATATAATCAAATCAACATTGCCTTAGCAGTTAAAAGTACATCTGAATCTGGACATACCTACTCTCTTCTCCACCAGTCCTCCCTGCTGGGCCAGTTTGAGTGCGTGGATGTACCCAAACGTGATGTCATGTCCCAGCATGTGACAGTACACCAGTCGTACCAACAACTCCTTCATCTGTTTCTGTAGGGGATGGTACAAGAATGATTGTCAAAGGGGTGTCACACTAGTACTGTTGTCAGAGGGACAGACCAGGAATGAAGATGAAGGGGTATAAGACTAAAAGAGTCAACTGTTTCTATATAGGATGATTTTATTCTATTTTCGCACCAAGATTTCTGGATTTCTTTTGTTGCTTTCTTGTTTAATCCTATCGATTTTTTTCCCTAGCTGTCGTAGTATGAAATAGCCCAACATAAATGATTATGGAATTTATGACAATGGGACTGATAGAATCTTACCAATCGATGTGCAAATGTAGAAGCATTCAATTATACTAGTTTGTAGATGTTATAACATAGCAGTTATCATACAATCTTGATACGTACCTTGGAGATATCTGGTTGAGTGAGTTTTTGCTGCAGGTAGCTCACCTCCTTTTTCATGATACGTTCCTCCTCCTGAGTACAGAGACATTAATATTTACACGATCAGCTTTTCGTAGATAGACAAATGTCAATTTGTGATCTGCTTTGTAAACTTGCAAGGCCCTTTTTACACTACAGCAGAATACACATTTTGAAAACTTGAATTCTAATTACAGTCGACTGGCTGTCTGGATAAACAATAGCCTATTCAAAAAGTGTGACAAACACAACTAAATGCTAGAAAATTTATACATTTATTCATACATGTACTAGTATCTACAGTACACTGCCAGTGCAGCTTCTAGTCAAAATCGCCTGCACCCATACAAATCAATAATCAAATTTTTACTGAGTTTTCAAACATGACAATGTCTTGTAAAGGAGATGATATTAATTTATACGTTACAGCATGATCGTTGAGCTTTCAATATCTTCCGATCGGTGCAAAAATGCGTGATAAAAACTACAGCGTACAGCATGCAGTGAACATATACTGTTACAGTTGTTAGTGTATAAACCCGAAAGGGGAGGGGGGTCTTACATGTTTAGACTGGGACTCGCCGATCGCCTTGATGAGGGACTGAAACCCGCGCGAACCGCCGAAAGCCCCGCCCAGCTCCCCTTTGATGAACATCGGCAGGGAAGCAAGGGTCCTCTCCATCACTTCTGTCATGTCCAGCCGCCTGTAGACAGAAATGCCGCCCGAACATATCAGAAATCGGCACTGTTATTTTTTTTCGTCAACTGGCGGAAGCCATATTGAAATCGACGTATGCATACCAATCATCCCACTGTCGAAAATAGGGGGGAAATGTTTACGTTTTTAAATCATACAAAAATTCGTTATAATAGCCTTACTTAGTAAATTATCAAATCAAAATATTATTTATATTTCTAATCTTATGATTTGATGTATAAAATCTTTGCTGTTTTCTTAAAAGAAGATGGTTTCCTCCAAGAAAATGAGTCAGACCAAGGTCACGTGACGTCAGATTTGGCTCTGCTTTCTTGTATAGCGGATATGCTTCGAGGCGAACTCTGTTGTCCAAAATTCGCATTTCTGTTCGCTTAAACGCTTCAAGTTTTCATTTCTCTCACCTTCTGGACACCACAAGTTATTTGCGACGCCACAAGCTATGTGAAGACCCTCAAAACCTCACAGAACCGCGCAGAAAGGGTGAGTACTCTATCGTTCTAGATTTCGGATCAGTCCCTTCTATTCAAAGCTATAATCGTCCCTTTGTGGTTTCCAAATAAATTGTCCATCGACCACCAACTCCTACAAATCTTACTAGATCTGAATACGTATTTTTCGCGGGTACTTCAGTACCTGTTGTTGTTTTCTTAGGAATATGTTTTGATATCGTGAGTAGAGGGGTTTTGAAAATGTGTTGTTGTGAGGTGGTGGGTGTTGAGAGATGGTATGTCGGTGTCAGTACTAGAAGACATGCTGGGAACTCTTGACATGTTTTCTACTGGCGGTATGGCACATAGAAAGAGCCTCAAACACACCACCACACACACCGACACATGTGGGGAGCGATCCGCTCTCTCCTCAGATCGGCCAGAGAAAAAAGAAACCAGTTGCTCATGCCGACCTTGCACAGGAATTTTAGCCAAGATGTTATCTGGACTGTCTACCCTTGCACAGTTGGATCCAGCCTGTTAAGATTTTAATATGCATTTCATGTCATATGGATGCTGTGGACAAGAATCAGAATGGAGAATGGTCTAGAATGTAATCTGTAATGCTAAAAAAATCTATCAGCTATTATAATTTGCAACACTTTTTTTTATTCCCAGCATTATTACACAATCAACACATTGGTAGAAAGCTCCATTGTGCCACCACAATTAAGCTAATAAGCAATTAACAATCTGCAGTGTTTCATATACTTATGCTAAATGATTGTCAGAGGTACAGATCTTAGTGATAATAAATTGTTTTTTTGTCTTTGAATAAGTGTGTAAAATGGTATGATATTGATAATCTTCCATTTTATATCATGAGTTTGCTTATTTATTTGAGCTCTGCATGAAAATACATGACTTGTTACACTATGTGCTTATGAATATGGAATTGTATGATGGTGAGATTGAGAATACATTTTATCCTGCTGCCTAACCCCATCACCAATACGAATTTTGTTGCAAAAGGCTACCTAAGTTAGTAATATTTAGTATGTTAAAGGTTGATTATAAAAATGCTGCAATATTGGAACACTTGCAGATGATGTTATAATTTAGAAATGGGGACAGTTCTGTAGTAATGCTAATAGTAATACTAGTTTTTCCTGAACCGTCTTAATCCCTGATAAAACACAGCACACACACAGGCATGTATCAGTGACATAGACCCTCTAAGTGCCTTGCTACATGCTTGAGCAGATACAAACTTGCATAAACATTGGACGCATATAATCAAATGAATCCAGCTTGGGAATCAAACATTTTCTTAAAGTCAATAAAGACTTACTAGACTATCGTGAGCTCCTTTACGTTGTTGATGGTATCAGTGTGGAAAAAATTGCTCTGGTAATTTGTATTCAGTTAGGAAAAGTAGTCCAGTATCATTATATGTTTCAAATGCATTAGCATTAGGCTTAGCAGTGGTTCAAATTTCTCTCCTATAGTTGCTACCATTTCATCAGAAATGGCTGGACCTTCAGAACCACCAGAATAGAGAGAAATTCCATCAGTGTGAGGTCTGTAATCCCAGCAGAACTAATGGTGGTCGACCTAGGCCTGTATTCCCTGCAGACCATTCAAATGGCCTTGTGAAACATACTACATAGAATGCCAAAAACTGGGGGTTTGGGGGTCTTCATGGTCTTTGGGAGCTTTTATGTGCTATTTTCTGATTGCATATAGAAAACATAGCCGGCTTGGTTGAATTACCCTCGTTTTTTGAACTGGGCTAATCAGAAACCCCCAGTTCTATAAGCCTGCTACGGAGGCTTTTAATTTAAGTGAAACAGCAGTAGCATATCTATTACCTTGGTGACTCAGAATGTCTCTCCAGGCAAATTTCAAGAAATGATCCATAAAAGTCTTTCGTCATTTTGCTTTTTTAGAGTTGAGCTGGAACAAAAATGCACTGGAGTAACTGATAAAATGTAGCTATCATCCACTCACTATAGTATATACATAATAACATCAGCACTGTAAGTGTAATTGCATGTCCCTATGTAATCTAATTATTGTATTACTGTGATACATTTCTTACTAATAATAGTGTAAATGAATTCTCTATATCTATACTGACATCCATATTATGTTAATAGCTGCTCATAATTATACAGCACAGGGCTTTGACTATGACTAATTAGCACTGAAATCTGATATCATTCACAGTTCATCAAGTGTCCTTACTACACAGCTAGGGGGTCTTGATTGACTGGCTGCCCTGGAAGTGTTCTTATCAGATGTTGATTTGGTTATTAGTGTTAATTCCACTGTTCAACAAGTGGCAATTACTTGTTATTGGACTTATTCATCATTATATGGTCATCAAGAACACATCAGTGCATAGCTAGGGGGTCTTGATTGACTGGCTGCCCCAGAAAAATTGTAATGTCACAAGTTGAATGACAGGTTGATTTGATTATTAGTAGTAATGCCCCAGTTCAACAAGTGTCATTACTGGCTATACTTGGTCATCAAGAACACATCAATGCATAGCTAGGAGGTCTTGATTGACTGGAAATGTTCATCATCATGTCACAAGTTGAACGACAGGTTGATTTGATTATTACAGTAATGTTCCAGTTCAACAAGTGTCATTACTGGTTGTACATGATCATCAAGAGTCATCAGTGCATAGCTAGGGGGTCTTGATTGACCTGTTGCCCTAGAAATGTTCATGTCACAAGTCGGACGACAGGTTGATTTGGTGATTTAATAGTAATATCACATTTCAACAAATGTCATTACATGGTCATCAAGAACACATCAGTGCATAGCTAGGGGGTCTTAATTGACTGACTACCCTGGAAGTGTCCATGTCAACATTCCTAATTAAGTTGATTTTATTGATTGTAAAAAAGAAAGTGTTTTTGATTGGCAATTAAGATTAAGATGTGACTAGAGCTATATGGTCTGTTTTAACATATTTATTTTTTACGATACTTTTTCTTGTGCTGGTAGAATATTGTGTTTTTAGATGTTGATCCCAACACATGATACTCAATTTATATTGATACAGTTTGGTGCAGTGACTGTGTATCATAATCTATATTACATTTCCATGCCTGCTTATGAAGATTTATAGTTATACTGTTATAGCGTTACATATGGATAATGCACATCATTTTTTTGTCGCATACACGTATGCCTTATTTCTTTTATTTAGCCCAGAATAGTTTTCTCAGGTTGGTATTTAATAACTGGGTATTGTCAAACCAATTGTCTATGAGTATGACTATGAGTAATACTGACTGGTTTGTTGCCCCACATGCCGCAAAGATGACATACCCTGTCGCAGTGTCTAGCTCTCAGGATGTCCAAAATAAAAGACTAGGAGAAAGAATAAAATTCAAGTAGCTTACTGTACCTGTGCAAAACACTGCCATTTCCCTGTAGGCACCTGGGTGTACATGAAACCGTAAGATGATCCCGTATGTGTACTGAATTGTATCTGGTAGTTATCTGTTACCTGCATATGCAGGTTAGTGCAGGTAAAATGGGAGTTGTGCAGGTACTATTTGTAATTTTCTGATGTCTACCTGCACCTAACCTCCACTGGTAAATGTCCTGGTATATGCAGGTTTGTGCAGCAAAAAATGTTCAGTTCTAAAAAAAATACTACAAGTACAACAAAGATTTTCTTATTTTTCTGACACTTACATATGTAGATGTCAACAACATGCTGTACAGTAGTATACATTCAGTGGCAATGATATGCAGGTGTGTAGAAAAAAAGGATTTCAAGCCCTGACCAGCCTGTACATGAAACTGTAATAAGATCCCGTATGTGTCCTGAATGGCACCTGGTCATTATAGGTGGTGAATAATGTATAACTGGGATGGTCTTACACGAGAGACTAGCCTGGTTTCACAACCCAGAGCCTGGCTTACCATGCAGGTATGTCCAAAACATGACCTCTCGGTGCTTAGTACAGGTTTGTTTATATATATTCAGGAGTGTCGAAATTTCTGAGGAGACTTTGAAACAAACAGGAAAGGCCTTGAACTGTTTATGTGAAATCTCAAGAGATAGGTTATAGGTAAGTAGATTTACTGTGTCATGTTTCTTGAACCAGGCCTTATTTGTGTGGGATTTTTTGCAACGTATATTATCAGATCAAGGAGTTCTCTCTTTAACATTCTTGGTCAGACATATATTGAGAAAAATGACATGTTTATTTCATGTGGATAAAAACCTCAAAATGGTAAATTTTACTATTTTAGATAGAGGCAAATGATAGGGTTTCAATATGGTATGTATGGTATTAGCCGTTGGCGAAAGTAAGCTGGCAAATATAGATCAGTTGCTATTTTGCTGCATGTTTGTTTTTTTACCACTACATACTAGCTACATGTAGTAGGTGTTTGTTATGAGACTGATTATTTTTTATGTTCCAAAATTGGCAACTTGATTATTTTTTTTGCCTATGGCCTGAAAATTCTTTCTACAAATTGTTCCGGTTGGATATTTCGAGCCCTGAAGATAGAATGTTCTAGAGTCAGAATGATAGTTATTATCTAAATAGTCTGTCTGTGCCTCCGTAGCAGGCTTATACGGGAACTGGGGGTTTGGTGGTCTTCGGCTGTTCTAAAACGGTTTATTCAACCAGGCCGGATATATATATGTCGTCTATATGCAATCAGAAAATAGCACATAAAAGCTCCCAAAGACCCGGCCTGAAGACCCCCAAAACCCCCAGTTTTTGGCATGCTATGGAGGCTAAGTCTGTGGTCTGTGAGATTTCAACAGTCACCAGATTAGCATGACATGTACATCCATCCAGCTGACCTCCAAATAACCTGTTTAGAGTTTTGTCCAATCAGGTGGAAGGAAGTTGGCAGTTTTATGGTCGGAATGGTGAGTGACAGGCCTGAGTCACAGGATGAAACAAGCAGAACGTTTGTGACTGTGAATTTTGTCACCTTGTGCTTTTACTCTTTGTAGGAGTACTAGGGAGAATTGTGAGTAACATATACACAAGATTATTATTT